TGTCTTCACTGGCCATCATCACCTGTGGGCCACTCTGTGTCTTCTCCTCTTCCCTCTTTTTTTATTGTTCATATTGATTTTAGAGAGAGAAGGAAATGTGGATTTGTGGTTCCCACTTAGGTATGCATCCATTGGTTGATTGTTGTATGTGCCCTGACTGGGGATCGAACCCTCAACCTTGGTGTATCAGGACGATGTTCTAACCAACAGCTGCCCAGCCATGGCCTCCTGTTTCTCTCCTGTAAAAATCGTTGCTGATTGGATTTAGGGCCCACCCTCACCAGGATGATGTCATCTCAAGGTCCTTACTTGAATTACATCAGAGAAGACCTCTGTTTTATGTAAGGTCTTCTTCTGATGGGCCAGGAGGGGACGTCTTTGGGAGCCCAGATTCAACCCCCAGCAGAAGGGCACGTGGGGCGGGAAGGCTCTGTTCTAGAAAAGAGAAAAGCGCGTGCAAAGCAAACACGGAAAAAAGGAAGATGTTCCCAAAGGAAGTAGCGGTGGGGTCCTGGGTGGGGGGTGGGAGATCCCTGGGGGATATGGTGGGTTAGAGGTCAGCTGCTAGAAACCTGGAGTGATTGGGGACGGGGGGGCTGGCGTAGGCGAGAGGACCTGCCAGGAATTGTTGGACCGAGAGTGGTAGGTCGTTGGACCTTTTAGAAGCAGACACTGCTCCCTGCCACGCTTTTCCTCTTGAGTGTGTATGATTGTTCACATTTGAACTTAGATGTTGCATTTTCAAAGTGTTTTGTTAACCTTCGCACATTGAACGTTTTATCATATACTTTGTACTTCCCAACTCCCCGCTTTGGCAGCTCCCCCAAACAGCGGCGTTGGTCGGCGTCGGGTCAGCGTCGGGTTCACAGGTTACTGGGAGGGTGGGGGGGTTTCACATTGTTCCAGGAACAGCGTCCTCTGGTAGAACAGTAACTCCGTAACTATGCTCCTGTCCAGTGATACATAAACTAACAAAAGAATGGAACACTGTGATAATATCTGAACCCCCGTCACCTGTTGAATAATGCAAGTTTGAACTTCATGCCTCCCCAGGAATTTTAATAATGCATTCCAAACAGCCTGTTATTGTTGAATGGTTTTGCTGGGGTTTTTTCTTTTTGGTTTGACTCCAAATTACTCTGGTTTTCTCTATTTCAGTGCCTTTTCCCCTGCAAGTGCAATTCGAGGCTTCATCATAGTGTGAATAGCACAGATGAGGCCACCCAAACTCAGCTCACACTGAGGGTGGAGAAGCTCTGACATTTTAGGCTATTTCAGTTTGTTTTCCCAACTTAAATGCTAACACTTTCGTTACTGATGTTGTTCTTACCATATCAATAATAATCTGTTCATATTGCAGACCAGAATAAATTTTGTTGTAATTTGTTTTACATATTTAACATTTTGCTTCTGCTTCATTGGGCCAAGCTTTTTACATTTTAAAAAAGTTTTGTATTTCCTCCTTGAGCCCCAGAACCCCATTCTAATCATGAGAAAAATGTGGGACGTTCTGGCCAAGGGGTGTCCTCTGAGGCGCCTGCCCTGCCCTCCACCAGAGCAGGGAAGTTCCAGGTCTCTGTTAATAATTTGTTCGTGATCACTTTATCGGTTCACTAGTTGCAGCAAATGTACCCTACCACACAAGACGTCAGTGATGGCGGAACCCGGCTCTCACGGTCGGGGTGCACAGGAAGGGGCCCAGGGTGCCCCACCCCCATGCGCCCGCACTGCCAGAGAACCCCACAGGCCCAGCTTTCCACCAGTCCCGCTGGTGGGAGGCCACAGGTGTGAGCAAGGGTGTCCTGGGAGGTTGGGGCAGAAGGGGGGTGGAATTCCGAGCCAGGGCGGACTGGAAGGACCTTGGAAGGAGCTCCACACCTCCCCCCAGACCCATCAGCAGAACACAAAGCCTGCCCAATCCTACGTAGTGGTGGGTGGCAACTCAGAGTGTAAAATAGCATCCTGAGTCCACACTGAGACAGACAGAGGGACAGAATTCTGGTCATGTCTGTAGCTGCCCCGCCCTCAAGGAGGTGGAGCCTAACCCCCAACCCTGTAAGTGCCAAGACCACAGTGTGGAGGGAAGGGATGGAGTGCAGCGGAGAGGCCTGGCAGCTTCTCACCTGAGCCAAGTGATCCCGGGATGGGTCACATGCACAGCAGGCAGCCTCGATGTGGCGAGTGAGGTGACCTTTTAGCTCAGGGTCTACCTCCCAGAGCACAGCCCCAAGACTGAGATGATGAGAAAACCATCTCACAAATCCGAAGACATAGCCATTTCCTGGAATACCTGCCCCACACCCCTCTGAACGGTCAAGGTCACCAAACACAGGGTCTGACAAACTGGACAGTCCGAGGGAGCCTAAGGAGCCTGATGACTAAGGTGCCCTTCCTGTGTGAGATCCTGGGGCAGGAGAAGGACACAGGGAAGTGAAGGGAATCCAGTAGAGCGTGAACTGCAATAGTAAAGGCGTCGGTGTTGGTTCGTCAGCGGCGGCAGTGCCCCAGAGTAACAGACCGTAAAGCCGTTTAAAATAAAATGTTTAATTTAGCCCTGACTGGTGTGGCTCAGTGGGTTGAGTGCCAGCCTATGAACCAAAGGGTCACAGGTTTGATTCCCAGTCAGGGCACATGCCTGGGTTGCGGGCCAGGTCCCCAGTAGGGGGCGTGATAGAGGCAACCACACATAGATGTTTCTCTTCCTCTTTTTCTCCCTCCCTTCCCTCCATCTAAAAATAAAAAATAAAATCCTTTTTTTTAAGTGCCTAAAACAATAAAATGTTTATTTAAATATTTTTTAAAAGTCAACAGAGAAATTAAGACCACACGAAGGGGTTAAAAATTAGAAGTTCAAGTGTCTTTTTTCATGGTAAAGTTTTAAGATTCCATTTCAGATATCTGTATCACAATATCATCATCTATAATGTGTGTGCTCCTTTTATGAAAAGGTTTGATTTAACCAATAAACAGAACCTCTTGTCAGGGTTCCTTCCTGGGAGATGGGTTGTTACATTTTATTATAGTTTTCCCTCTTGATCCCATCCACTTGAATTTCAGGATTTGGCCGGCAGGGTGTCACTTACATGTTAGTTCAGAGCGTGCTTAACTGCGGCGACCCTTTTGGCCTTGTGTCTGCGCACATCCCCCAGTCAGTAGGCTGCGGGGACGCATTCACAGTCTGTCTCCTTGACGACGTGGGACCAGCGACGGCAGAGACAAGTCAGAGGCCTGTGCGCCCCGTTAGGAGAGCTTTCTGAGTTTCCGTTCTTCCCCAAGCACCTCCCACGTCCCGGACGTAAATGTTTCGGGGCACGTGAAAGCACTCGGACGTGAACGTCAGCGTCCCTTCTCTGACTGCTCCTGTCATTCACTCCTGAGTGCCCGCCTCTCCCGGGTCGTGCTTGAGTTGGTGTGGTGACGGTTCTGCCCCTGTTCTGCTGGGGCAGCGGTCGGGGACTCCAGCCTGTAGCACTGCGGAGGTGCTGGCAGCAGCCTGCTGGCCCTCCAGAGCGTCCACACTCTGGTTTGGTCGTCCCTTCCTGGGGCATTCTTTGGCAGCTGGCCTTCTGGGCACAGGGCAGAAATGCCAGAGGTAATGCCCCAGGTTGACCCCTCCTAGCCAAAGACGGCGCGGGGGGTGGGGGAGGGGTTACAGTGAGATCGTCTGGGTCCTGTGCACATGTCACAGCCTCGACCCTTGAGACACAGAGCTGTCACCTGCTTGCTGACACGCCCCATCTTGGCTTTTTCCTTCCCTAGCTCACTTCCCTGATCTAGGCCCAGCTTTGGGAGGACGCACACTAAGACCCTATGCAACGCACAGGTGTCGACGGAATGAATTAATGTTCTAAATGAGTGCGAGCCTGATCATTCAGGGTGTACCCAGGAAAGAAAAGAATGTGAGCGCTTCCAGGTCACTATGAATGGGGTGTAAAGTGATGGCTGAAGAGAAATCCATAGAGGCCGCCGTACACACCCGGAGGAGGGGTCATCGTCCAGCCTCTTCCTCACCCTTCGCAGCTCAGGGGTGGTGGCCGCCTGTGAGAGTGACCCTGTGTGACCCTGCAGGGAGGTCAGAATTAAAGCAGGTTGGGAAAGGGTCACGTAGTTGACCGTGAAGTCGGCAGAGCAGCCGGCACACACTGCCTGCCGCAGCAGGGACCTAAGACTCAGGGTCCTCTGGTTAATGCATGCTCTTTAACTGACTCCTCTACCGAGTGCTGTGGGCAGTCATTTGTCCTCCCAGGTGGTCTGTCCCCCACTGTCCCAGTCAGTCGGTGTGGGCTCAGAGGCCTTGTCAGGTTCTCTCAGAACAGCGTGAGGGCGAGCCGTGGACACAGGTCAGGGTTTAGGTCACTTCAGACTGGCAGGAGGGCCATCGTCCCTGTAAGGCAGCGTCTGGGTTCCAATCCTGGTTCCACAGAGTCCTGGTCACGTCCAGGAGCTGAGGCCCTGAAGCCGGGGGGTGGGGGGAGGCGAGCAGAGTGGTCCAGGCCTCGACCCTGCAGTCGGGGGCCCCAGAGAGGAGGGGAGCGAGCACTCAGCAGGGACTGAGAGAGGACGTGGTGGCTGGCGGAGCGATTTCCCATTTTTCACCGCCGGCATACGGAAATACGGTGGCATGCTTTTTGTCTTTTATTAACCCTGCCTTCTGGGACCTTGTTAAACTTTCTTTTTTTTAAGATCTGGAAACTTTTTTTGTAGATTCTTTGGTATTTTCTAGTTAGAAAACCAGCTGGTCTTCAAATAAAGACAGTTTTGCTTTTTCCTTCTCCGTGTGCACACCTCGTTTTTCCCCGCCTTGCTGTGCCAGCGAGGACCTCCAGGGCGGCGCCGTGTCAGCGAGAGAGCGCATCCCCGTTACCTTCTCACTGTCTTGGGGAGAATGGGCCCGTTTCCCGTGACGTCTGTTAGCAGCAGGTTTTTCGTACGTACTCTTTGTCCAGTGGAGGGCGTTCCTTACTGTCGCTGAGAGTTGCCCTTTTCTCTTTCCTTTTCAGCAGAAGATTCAGAAAGTGGCGTTTACATGCGGTTCATGAGGTCACACAAGTGTTACGACATCGTTCCGACCAGTTCAAAGCTCGTGGTCTTCGACACCACGTTACAGGTGAGTGTGCCCAGTCTTCTCATGTAGCGGGCATACGGTTCAGGCGGTGGCCTCACGAGGTCATTTTCATCCAACAATTGCAGCAGGCGCGCACTAGGTCCGCTCTGCGTGTCGGGTCCATGCCAGGGCTCAAGGTGGCCTCGTGGGGAATGGGCCATGACTGCCGTCTCTGTGCAGATGAGGAACCTCAAGTTCTAGACTTAAAGAACTCGAGTCACAAAGCCGATCCCACAGATTCTAGAACGGCGGAGCTTGACCCACGGAGCTGGCGCGTGACGGCACCTGGAGCCCAGTGTGAGGGTGTCAGCCTTCATGGCTCCCGTGAAATGGCTGCCCCCTCCACACACTCTGAGGGGGGTTTTATTTAGTAGAATAGCTCATGAATTAATTTGAAATAATACTGGTTAAAAAGGAAAAATCACTACGCTAGATAATAATCTGCATTTGTTTGCAGCAGATTTGAACCTGCCCATTCTGGTATCAAGACTGCTTATTGCAGCTCATTTTCCACCAGCGTGACTTACAGTTCTAAACGGAAAGTCCTCAGTGATACATTCAGGGTAATGCCAGGTGTCATCTGTGCACACACACGTGTGTTTAGTGTCTGTGTGACACACACGCCTTTGCCGAGCAGGACTGCCTGCAGTTGTGTCCCAGGTCCCTTTTGTCTTCCACTTGCGTTTGGTTCGAATATGGAAATACAGCGGATTTTGGCAAATTGACCTTTTTTTACATCTCATGATTTTGTTAAATTCGTTTCAGACCAGGTCCCTGTAAAACCCCAAGATTCTCTGATCCTTTGATGTAAAAGTCAGGGAAGCCTCCCAGTACAATATTCCCATAGAGAAAGAGTCAGACGGTCACTTTCAGATAAGATATACAGCCTCCACCACCGCAGTGACAATTATACTAGAAATTCTGAATTCCCACACACCGCTTCTGGGTCAGTCCGTCGCCCACCGGTGGCCATGCCCCAGAAGGCTCACTGTCCCTAGAACCAGGTGTCCTCACTGTCGGTTGCTGCTGCCAGGAGAGCGACAGCTGCCATGGCCTGTCTGTGCCCTCACGCAGCTTCGCCCTCGCCAGGAAATTGACCTTCCTCTGAATTCAGCATGTAGCCAAATCGAGCAATCCGTGAAAAATGCAGTGCCAGCCTGCCGGAGGGGGACCGCCTGTAATGCAAGCCCGGCTGTCTCTTGTTGGTCAGGGGTTCACAAGGAGTCCCTCCCAGCCCTGCTGTGGGTGTGGATGGGACAGCAGGGGATGCAGCTGGTGCCAGTGGCAGGAGCGGGAGGCATTGCTGGGGCATCGTCCTCACTCTCTGGACCTGGACAGCTCTGTCCCCTACACCTGGGCACCCCACGGTGGCCGGCTGTGGAGCACAGCCCAGCATGTGGCCGTACAGGTCACATGGCACCCGTTTATGGGGACACTTGGCTGCACAGCCCCCATGGCTTCTCGTTAGTTTTCCATCTTTACCAGGGTCCAGTGGGAAGCCAGGAACCCGAAGGGGCCTCACCGGGCAGCCCTGGCTGTGACTCTGCTGGTCATGGCCCACGTGGACCAGGAGCCTGCACTTGCTGCTGAGAATCAGCTTGCTGTGGTCCCCTCCCAGAACAGCTTTTTTGGGTCACTCAGTAAATGTGTCAGAGCGGCTGCTCAGAGCAGAGCCTGCTGCTTCCAAGAGACCGACCAAGTGGTGTGCAGCCGGCAGGGCGTGCACAGAGCAGCCACTGAGACGTCCCTGGGAGGGGCTTCTGACACTCCAGCCAGTGCCCTCACTGATCTCGAAGCCTCACCCTCTAGTCGGCAGGTGTCTCATGAGGCATCGGAAGTGTTGCTGCTTTCTCAGCCCCAGATCTGGTGGGCAGTGTCTCCAGCGGCAGCCAGCGTGGCGGGCGGCCTGTCGGAATGAGCAGCAACAGGCATTCGAGGTTCATGCAGAGTGTGTGGGGTGCAGGAGCCCCCGGGCGCGTTGGTGACCCAAGCCGTGCCAGGTCCAGTCAGACTGCCCAGGCCATGGACGGACAACTCTGTCTGTCTTGGCAATGACACTGGTGCCGCCACACCCCATCGGGGTGCCGCTGCGGTCAGTCCCCACCATCACTCGGGGAAGATGCGGTCACAGAGCGGTTTAACTGGGGCCAGTGGGGTGGGCATGACGCGTCCCACCCCTGCAGGGCAGAATGTCTACTTGAGCAAGTTGGAACTTTTCTGCAAGGGACATCATTCTGTCTGCCACCCTCATAAATGTATTCAATCATCAATAGCAGTATAAATTTACAGAGAGAGAGAGAGAGAGAAATAGCGCATTAGGTTATAATTCATTACTACTTTATTTTGTTGCTCAAATTATTCCAATCAACACGACTGCTAATTATGCCAACGACAGAGAAAACAGGCAATTACCCAAATACGTGGCTGTTCGCCAAGCACACGTTTTCAGAAGAACACGTAGGAAACGTAGAATGAAGAGGGTAGAGTCAAAAGGGAGCTCAGAGAAGGGATGGCTGGGCGGGGCTTCCCCGGTGATCTCAGCTGGGATTGGATAAGATCCACTTGGGGGGCGGGGCTTTATTTTAAAAGCTGAGAGGACAAATAGAGCCAGGTGGGGCTTGCTGCTCAAGACTCTCACTGCAGGTGCTAGTGAGGAGGAAGTGAAACTCTTCAGCTCGTTGTGTACTTTTTCATCCTCAAGGTAAATGATCTCCAGCATGGGGACTAAAGTGCAGCAAATGGTGACTAGAGGACATTGAAGCCCAAGACAGGTGTGGAGATTTCAGGATGGTGCATTAAACCAGGTCCACATGAGTCATGTCCTGGTATAATGCAGGGGGACTGCTGGGCTCTTGTGATGTCAGGGGATTGTGGACAGTGAGGATGGTCTGGTCCCAAGGCAGTGGGTGGGGAAGGCAGCATCTGTCCCAGCTGAGATGCTTGAATGAAATTATTAACAAAAAAAATAGAAGTGGTCACCTCTGGGAGCCTATCGTGAATTGACCAAAAATAAAAGTCACAGAAGGTGAACCTTTGATGCCTGGGTTTCAGCTACATAGTTGACAGAGCCCTGCGTGGTGTCCCCATGTGTATGGGCAGAGTTTGGCAGTTCAGTGAGTGGATTGACGGCCCATATGGACCCGAAGAGAATGTGGATTAAATCTCCATTGGCCTGGAGCCGGGTTTCTGGTTGTATCGGATGCCTCTCGTGGGCCATTTCACGTCACCTGCACCTCCAGCCACCGCCCGCCTCAGCCACCCCGAGCACAGGGTACCTCCGGCTTCCTTAACCCCAGTGCAGGACCTAAGCTGGTGGATAAACACGCCCTCAGGGTGGACAGTCCTGAGAAGATCTCAGTGGAATGAGTGGCAGCTGGCCTGCACTTGTGGCCACTCAGTCACCACCACCACCCATACCCCCCCCCACACACACACACATCCTGGTGTTTCCATCCACCCCTCCCCTGGGCTCCCAGTGAACCGCATGCAGGCCAGCCTCTGCCTCCCGGCGCATGCGGGGAGCTAAGGCTCATGCCAGCACTGCACCACAGGGTTCTTTTACTCTAAGGTCATCTAATGAACAAATGACTTGAAACCAGGAGTGATAGCTGGTCATCATGGATATCCAGAAAGATCCCTCAACAAGCTAAGTCACTTTTAAGATCAATTAATAACTAGATGAAACGATGGCCTGTCAATATTCCAGGAAAGGGTCCATCTGGGGACTGAGCACCGTGGGGCTGTGAGGGTGGACATATGGCCCTTCTACTCAGTTTACAGACTGCTGTGAGTGTGGAATTAGGGATTTCCTAACAAGAGTCACTTTTGTTTAGAATTACCTCTCACTGCCAGGGTTGCTGGAGAGAGCTATTGTGGTTCTTTTCTGATCTCCATCTTTTGTGTGAGATTGTTTTCTCCCCTGTGAAACTATTGGGGTTTTCTCTTTGCACCTGGCCCTCCAGCATCGCACACTCCATGCCTGGTCTCGATTTCCCTTCCTCACGCTGGGCACCCCGGGCACCCCGTGCACCCCCACAGCCCAGGGGACTCGTTCAGGGCTGACTCCCTGCATCAATCGCTCCTGCTGTTTTACTTCTGCAACTTCAGTGAACTGCCGTTGGGCCCCCTGCGCTGATCCTTGAATGTTCTTCTCTTTGTCTTGTTGCATTTTTGTTCTACTTTTTGGACAGTTCTTCGTTTTCTCAACCCACCAGGTAGGATATGTGTCGAACAGGAGCTCCTGCAGCCCCGTTGTTCGTGCTTGTCATGGGGCTGTGACAGTTTGAGGGGACACACTGTGTGTGCAGGCTGGCTTCTTGCTTGGGGGTCCCCACAAAGAATAGAGATCGGCCATCTTTTCATTGGCAGCCCCCAAATGTTTCCTTTTGAGAGCAGTTTCTCCAGAAAATAACCCTTTTTTATGGTGGTGCCAAGTGGCTGTGGTCATGACCGGAAGTGAAGCAGTCCTCCTGCTTGATTTGAGACCTGTCCCCAACCCTGTGGGCGCCAGGTCTTGGGTCCTCCATGTCCAGGGAGAGACTGGGCCGCTTCTGGCTCCGGACTCTCCTGGCACAAGGCTGTCCCTCTCTGTCCTCCTCCGTCCGGCTGCTTCATGCCCCAACAGTCTCCTCGCTTCTTGTGCTTCTAGTCTGTGCTCCCCACAGTGTGAGGATAGTGTTTCCAGAGGGGACGTCATCAGGAATGTGTTTGCGCTGCCGTTTTTCCCACCGAAGGAGTCACAGGGGAAGCCACAGTGACAGAGGAGGGTTAAGTGGGACCTGTGGGGGGTGACTGGGGCTTAGCTTTGATTGGAAGGACGTGGGCAGGTTCTTTTGGGGAGCCGAAAGTCAAGGGTGGGTTGGTGTTCACAGGGAGAGTAGAAGGTTGGTCCATCTGAACTAGAAGGAACATTGTGACATAAAGGACCCCCTTCCCCCCAAAAAAAATGGAAGTTCAGAGAGGAGGGAGTCGGCTGGAGCTGCAGGGATCGGGCTGGGGCTGGTTTTGCAGGGCCTTAGGTCCCATTCCTGGCAGGCCGGGCCCTGCCTTACGCAGTGGAGAGCTGTGTAGATGTGAATCCTTTGGATAAGCTCTGATGTCGAAACTCAGTGAGAACCCCAATTGGACAGCTTGGAAGAGCTTTTAGCCATTCATCAGCATTAAATCACCCTGGCTGGTGGGGCTCAGTGGACTGAGCGCCAGCCTGGAGACTGAGGGATTGCAGGTTCAATCCCCAGTCAGGGCACATGTCTGGGTTGCGGGGCAGGTCCCCTATTGGGGGCGTACGAGAGGCAACTGATCCAAAATATCTGGCACATTGATGTTTCTCTCCATCTCTGTTCCCTCTCTCTAAAAATTGAATACACAAAATCTTTTTAAAAATAATTTTTCAAAAGCCCCACAATCGGTTGAATCACTAAAAAGCAGGGTGAAACTGTGTAAAAAGCATCAGCGGAACCAGATTCCCGTTTCCTGGGACACCGCGGGCTGTGGGGCATTCGGTTGTCAGGACACCTCGCACAGCGAAGGCCCAGCGTGCTCTCTCCGTGGTACCTTTGTCTGTTCCATCTGATTATCCCCTTTGGTCGTCTGAAACCCCCATTGGAAAGTCTATTTTAAAATCAATAACAGTTTGAGCAGATTGCCCATCGGTGGAAAAGAAAAAAAACTTTTCAGCGGTCCTCAAGATGTTTTTCCTGATCAGAACGAGACTGATGGAGTCCCTTTTCAGTCCTTCTGTCGGTGAATTGGTAACACCCTGTGCCTCCTAAAATCGTGAAGAACTTCCCAATCATACTGTTAAATGGGCCCTTGAACAACTCCACACACACGTTTAAAAATCAAAGGAGACTTCATTATTGCAGAGAAGGGCAGCCACGCCACAGAAGCAGCGGGCACGTCCCTGAGCCGGGACATTGTGGAGCCGCTTCGGGGAGGCGCTGTGAGGTAACTTGGCCACCGAAGAATATTCCGTGAGGTCCTCGGAGGGTGGAATCGAGACTCCTTCCATGATGAGTGGGCATGCACCCCAGCGGTGCGTGGCGGGGAAGTTAAAGCCCTAAATCTTCTCTGCCTGCTTCCGGTGTGGTCAGCACAGTAGAAAATTAAAACATTTCTTCTTTTTGGCTGTATGTGCGGTACCACGCTGACCGTCTTCACCCCCAAGCCCAGTGAGTCCCCACGGCGCCGAGGCTCGGAGAGGGCTAGGACCTGAGCCGAGGCGCGTTACCCCGCTCCGGGCACCCTCCTTGGCGTTTGCTTGTTTTACCTCTTCTGCCCAAGCGAAGGCATGTTTTTTCTTAAATTCTGACCATCCTCTGCCATTGGGCAGCTGCTCCCTGGGGCCTTTCTCTCTCCCTGCCCTTGACCTGCTTAGCGTCAGCCATGCGAGTCTGCTCAGAAATAACTGGGGAGCCTGCACAGCCGGTTTCTGACATCCACGTTGTGGGCCTGTGTGTGTCTGCACATGTGTCTCTGCCTCCGTTAGAGCCCTTCCCCCAGTGTCTCCTGCCCATTGGCCGTGGGACTCGGTGATGCAGCAGATGAGTCAGAGACACTCTCGTGGGGAAGCACGGTTTTCTGTTCTGTTTCTGAAAGAACAGTCATATTTCAATGTGAAAATTGGCCCCGTCTGTCTGAGGGTGGCTCCTGAGAAAGCCCATGTCTTTTCCCCTCTGGCTTTCCCCTGCAACCCCTCAGTCTCCAGGCCTGTGCTCAATCCACTGAGCCCCACCAGCCAGGGTGATTTAATGCTGATGAATGGCTAACAGCTCTTTCAAGCTGTCTAATTGGGGTTCTGAGTTTCGCCTCTGATTTTTGTTGTCTTGTCGGGGATGTGCTGCGGTGTGGTTTTCTTTGTTTTTATCCTGCCTGGGATTCGATCCCTTTGGACAGATGGCAGTTTTCTGTTAAGGTCCAGCCATTGGAAGGTGACTTGGGGGGAGTGCCCACAGACCAGTCCAGCAGCACCTGTGGGGCTCCGGCCATTATTTGCTTTCCTCTCAAGAACTGTAGTGCCCTCCCACCCCCACTCCCACCCCCACGGCCCACCTGGCTGGGTCTGTGCACACCAGGGCTTTCAGATAGTGACAGGTGTGTTTGGCCCACCTTGTATTGTTGGTTTCGTTGTGGCCAAACTCAGAACTCTCAGAATGGAAGGCCTCTCAACAGCTCTGGGCACTTGGACTTTGATGGGTGATCCTGACAAATGATAATACGGGTTTCCTCTGCTAAAGGAGGTCCCTCCTCCCTCCAGTTCAGAAAAACCAGCTAAGCAGAATGCTTCGTCTGGGTTAAAATCTGTGTATTTGTGACTTCTCTCCCCTAGTCCTTTCTAATGCTTCCTAGGGCCACACCCAAGGTTCTCAGAGTCGCTGCTGGGTCAGAATAGCGCATTCAAACTGGCACATAGTCCCTGGGTGCCGTGACTGCTAGTCACATAAACACTGGATGTTTGGGCAATTCTGGGTGCAGCTGTGGCTCAGACTGCTTCATCAGCTCATGGTGCCAGTTTGATTACTGCATGTCCCCATGTCCTTGGGTGGGGGGGGTGCTCCACCCCCTCCTCTTCCCAGTCCTGCTGATTCACTCAGCTGATGGATGGACCCCCTGCAGGCCTCAGGACAGCACTGGCCGGGTCGAGACACTGCAGAGACTGATTAACGAGCTCCCTGTCCCCACTGGGCACCTACACAAGTCATTCTCGGTCACGGCAGAATATGGCACATTCAAGTCGCAAACAGGTGCAGAAGTATTAATCCTGGCCTGATTTGAAACTCCAAGTTTCTGTAATTCTCTCATGTCTTTTTGTTATTAACAGAGGTTCTAGAACATAGTGAGAAAAGGATCATTTTTTCTTAATTAAAAAGAGATCTATAAATAATTTTTTAAAGGAATGTACTCCCTAGTCCCAGCTTCTTGAATCAGAACTTTTTTTTTTTGCTTATTTCTCTTTATCTTTTCCATGTATGGAAAAATTTTTCTTTTAAATGTATATATTTATATAATCAAGGTATAGTATTATAATTGGCATTTTCACTATCATATGCTTTTTTTTTTTACTGCAACTCAGTCTTCATTATCATACTATTGGACATCTTTGTCATTGGGACACCAGTATGAAACCAGTTAGCTTCTGTCGGGGGTGGGTATTTTTACAGTTTCAGAACTGGAAACAGTGTCCAATCGAACACCATTGGTTCAGGAATCCTGCTCCTAAAATTGTAGTCTGAGTAAATAATTCAGCAGAGAAAAAGCAAGCACACCGATGCTCAGAGAGTATGAACGTGTTAGTGATCACCAACACATGACACACGCCATGGCTGCAAACACGCCCAACGCTACTGACTCAGCAGTGCTATGTGATGCTCTAAATTTGCTTTGATTTTTGGTTTTTTGGCTCCTCGTGAAGTCAAACCATTTCCCCTCTTTCCTGTCTATATTGAGAGGCTTATTTACAGTGCTGGACATTCAGCTTTTAATAAACCTTCTTAAAATTTTTTAAACATTTTATTTTAATGATCGTTCTTAAATTTTTTAAAAGATTTTATTTATTTTTAGAGAGGGGAAGGGAGGGAGAAAGAGAGGGAGAAAAACATTGAGGTGTGGTTGCCTCTCATGCGCCCCCTACTGGGGACCTGGCCCAGGCATGTGCCCTGACTCTGGAACCAACCGCAACCCCTCAGTCTGCAGGCTGGCGCTCAGTCAGCTGAGCCACACCAGCCAGGGCACCTCTGATCCTCCTTCACCTGCCGTGGCTCCCAGGGCCATTGGGCAGGAGGGTGCCGTGAGACAGCACACACAAATGTCATCTAGACGGGGACCAACCTGTGACAGGCACAGGGGTGTTCGTGTCTGAAAAATATAAAAGTCCTACTAAATGACATTTCTGAAAACATTTCTGAAGTGAATTTTTGTTTCCATTTCAAAAAATAATCCCCAATCCCTATATGCCCTTAAGTGATACAAAAGCACTTTTGATAATATGAATAAATTTGGTTATTTTTAGTTTATCAAACTTAGAAAACTTAATATTGAAGATAACTGATAGGATTTGGTTGCCTGTTTTTGTCGAAGGTATTTTTCTTCCTGATGTGTACACTTTAAAGTACGTTTCTCTCTTCTCTGTCTTCAGGTTAAAAAGGCCTTCTTCGCCTTAGTAGCCAATGGCGTTCGAGCGGCGCCTCTGTGGGAGAGTAAAAAACAGAGTTTTGTAGGTAAGCATTGTGGCCTCAGAGAAAATCCACAACCCTAAAAGCACAAAGCCCAGGACATTTTAATGGGTGCTGGTTGGAATTCACCCTCGTAAACACGTTAGCAAATTAAAGAACATTCTTGCTTTTATGTGACCAGGTAAGGCCGGGCCACTAGTAAATTCAAAACCACTTCTCTATTTTTATCGAGTTTCCTATGATTCAGCAGCTTGTCTCTGGAGGATTTCATGTGCCAGTCCCTGCGAGCCCAGGACCAGGGTCCGAGGGGGAGGCCGTGGTCAGACATCTGTCTGTCAGCCACCTTTGCTCATGTTTGCACAGCTGTGGTCCCTCCTGGCTTCCTCGTGGGTGAACACCTTTTGACGGGACAAACCATGCGATGTAAAAGGGATCAGTCCCTTCGCTAAATATTGTTATACTGTTAAACACCATGTGACTTAACAGTATCTGAACTCCGTGATTTCACATCTTGGCAGTCAGAGCAGACGGGGTGTCGTCCCTGTCGGGGTATATCACATTAGGATGGAATGACCAGCCCTGTGCCTGCCTCCCCCTCTGGTTATGGTTTCCTTGGTTACATTTCCTTAGTTACGGTTTCCTTGGTTACAGTTCCCTCTTTGTAGTCCTGGCATCTGGCACATAGTAGGCACTTAACGCATAATGACTGGTAAAACTGGTGTTTCCAGAATGGTTTCCAGGAAACAATCCAAGAGCCCCCCAGAAGTATCATGTTGCTAGAGCTTCTGGAATACTTTATTTTACTTTATTTTAAATTATTTACATGTAGCTGCCAGTCTTTTGTGATGTTTTATAACAGTCATTAGGTTTTCCCTCATTAAGTTGCCAAATACTGTGATTGAATCCAGTTACTGTTGGATTAAATTTCAGCTAAATTTGTGTATCTTTGTTGGCTGTAGATAATTAACAGATCAAATGCTTTAAATAAGGTATTGCACTGTGGTTGAGACCCACACGCTAGCACTTTTCTAGTCACTGTTCCACATTTGCCTGTCACTTGAAATTTTTCTTTCTTGTTTTCGGAGTTTCCTATTTAACATACAATTCTTTGTTCCAGGAATGCTAACGATTACAGATTTCATAAATATACTTCATAGATACTATAAATCACCCATGGTAAGTGCCAGACGTCCTTATGTCCGTGATGGGGGCTGTGCTCTGTGGGTGTGTATAAGGGTGTGTGTGTGTGCATGTGAAGATTTTTGTGGGTTTGGGTTTTTTTGGTACAGGGATGGTGCCAGTGGTTGATTTTTTCCAAACATATGTGATGCACGGGGAGCCCCGTGTAAGTCGGTCCTGTGTTTGAAGCTTGGAGAAGGCGGTCAGTCTCAGGAAACGGAGTTGCGGTCAGTTCGGTGTCCGGCTTCCAGGAATTCCCGGGCGGTGGGCGCTTACTTCTGGCCTTGGTCAGGGTGTCGACCTCATTTCCACCGGGGGCCACATCAGCCTCGCAGTTGCCTTCAAAGGGCCGAATGCAATTTTAGGGCTGTTTAGATGTCACTACGCCTCAACTAGGGGCAAGGAGCTCGGCACTGCCGTCAGGTAGAAACAAGGCAACTGGGCGGATACCGGCAGCACCTGTGGCCTGGATGGTCAGTAGGTCTCCCTGAATTTATGGCCTTGAACAGCTTGATGGCCACACTGCAGTGTCAAAAGGCGGCCCCCGCACCCTTGTCATATGGGTGGCCGTCCCCAGTGACCACACGTGCTCCGAGATGAGAATTACCCTCAGCACAGGACGTGCCCTCGTGGGCTTGGGGGGGGGCGCAGCTTCCGTGCACTTACCCCCGAAATGTTACAACAGGAGTGACAGGTGTTCTGTCCTTTAAAGAAGTAAAAATTAAATTTGAAGAAATTCTGTGTTGGGGGAATGCCCTGGTCCCTGGTCCAGCTGTTCTTTACAAGAGAGTGCATAGAAACCCACACGTGGCCCTCACTCTAGCTTTTCCACTTCATGATTCTACCAGCGTGTTTGGTTTTGGGGTTTTTTTGTTTGTTCTGGCAAGGGGCTTGGGGAAAGAACAGTATTGTACACTGTGTCTTTAACTAGTACTATTTTGGGTATGTAGAAGATAGAAGACCATCCAGTTAATGCTGCTTTTGCATGTAATAGTCTATATTGCCCAATAATTAAATTCCATCATAAAATGGGACAATAAGTTCCTTCATAATGCGCACACTCTCAGAAGAAAATTCTACCAAATACCTGTAGTTATTCCATATGCATTTCACCGGATAACTCTGATTTTTAAAATGCCACTGATGCAGGCAAATACTGACTTTACTTATAGTGGACATCTCTCTGCTTTTGAGCTTCCAAAAATCACAAGTTTGATTATTAAGTAGATAGATTTTTATTAAGTGCAGCTAACGCCCGTCTAACAAATCTCAGCAGTAGTCAATTAAATCAAAATGTCTAAAAATGCAGCTGTGTCTAAGTTATACAGCCCAAAGATTTCTTAATTCTTAAGGATACATTTCTTTTCCTCCACATTTCACCTCATTTTCTTTCTTTTTTTTTAAAGATTTTATTTATTTATTTTTTAGAGGGGAAGGGAAGGAGAGAGGAAGAGAAATATCAATGTGTGGTTGCCTCTCATACGTCCCCTGCTAGGAACTGGCCTGCAACCCAGGCATGTGCCCTGACTGGGAATCGAACCGCGGTTGTTTGGTTCGCAGGCTTGCACTCAATTCAGTGAGCTAAACCAGCCAGGGCTCATTTTCTAATTATGTGCAGAAAAATGCTACTGTGAAAGCCGTGGCTTGTTTCATTTTCCAAGTATTCATCTTCAGTATATAAAAGCAATAGATTTTTATATATTGACCTTTTATCCTGTAAGATTCACTTACTAGTTCTAGAATTGTTTTGTATGTTAGGATTTTTTTTCAGTCATTTGTACTCACACCATTTATTGAAAGGCCTTTTTTTCATAGAATTGTTGTACTACATTAGGTGTAGGTCTGTTGCTGGACTCTATTCCGTTCCATTGTTCTCCTTGTCTGTCTCTTATACCATGATGTCTTTATGACTATTTTAAAAAAGAGCCTTCTGTTATTATTGAGCGTCTGTAGGTCAATTTGGGGAGAATTGGCATCTTAACACTACTGAGGCTTGCAATTTATGAGCGTAGGATTTTTCTTGCTTTATTTCAATGGCCAGTGCCTCCAGTGCAGCACCAAAGTCAAGTCAGACCGTGCCTTGTTGCCCGCCGCAGAAGGGAACCAATGTTCTTGTTCCTCCCTGCCCCCCCTTTGGGAATTCTGATTACTCAGTTGAGACCTCTTGTTATGTAGGTTTTTTTCCTCCAGTTTTTTTTTCTGTCTATGCTTCATTTCAGATATATTTTCTTTTAACTTCGGTGTCATTGTTCTCTTCCTCTGCCATAACTAATCTTAATTTTTTTTCCAATCAGATACTGTATGTTCTGCTCTAGAAATTTTTTTTCATTTTTTTTCTTGTTCATATCTTTAATTCTTCGAACATATCAGTTGTTTTTAAGTTCTCTGCTAATTTCACCATCTCTGTCTATTCTGGGCCAGATCCTATTCACTGATTTCTTCTCGTATTTACAGATCACATTTTCCTGCTTCTTGAAAATCTCATAGTTTCCAGTGGGTGCTGGACATTGTTAGCATGTAATTAAATATCTGTATTGTCTTCCATTCAAAAGTATTAGAATTTGTTTGGGCAGGCAATTGATTTACTTGCAGATCAGCTGGATGATTTTGAGGTTTTGGTTTTTATTTTTTAAGTTTTGTTGAGATATAATTCATATACCCTTTTTCCACCCATTTGGAGTGTACGATTCACTGGCTTTTAAGATATTCACAGTTTTATGCAACCATCACCACAGTTGATTTTAGAAAATTTTCATTCCCCCGAAAAGAAACTCCACGCCCCTTAGTTATGGCTCCCCACACACAGCCCTCTGTCTCCCCAACCTTAGGCAACTACTAATCTGCTTTCTGTGTCCGTAGATTTGTCTGTTCTGGATATGTCTTATGAACGGAATCACCTAGTATGTAGTTCTTTGTGACTGGCTTCTTTCACCTCACGTAATGTTTTCAGCATTTCTTCCTGGCGTAGCGTCTGTCAGCACTTCATTTCTTCTTTTTGCTAAATAATATTTTGTGGTGTGGGTATACCGCGTTTTACTTGTCCATTCTCTGACTGATGGACATTTGAGTGGTCTCCACTTTTTGTCTGCTGGGAATAGGATGCCGCAAACATTCGTGTTCAAGTGTTTGTGTGGGCCTGTGTTTTTAGTTCCCTTGGGTGTATGCCTGGGAGTGGAGTTGATGGGTCCTATGGTAAAATGTTTAATTCTGTGAGGAGCTGCCCGGCTGGTCTCCAGCGGCTGCACCATTTGACATCCCCACCAGCAAAGCAGGAGGGTTCCAGGTTCTCCGGGTCCTCAGCAACACTTGTTACTGTCTGTCTTTTACAGCCATTCTAGTAGGTGTGAAGTGATATCTTCTGGTTTTACTTTGTATCTTTTATGGTGCTTCTGGGGGTCCGGGCTTTGTTAGAGTGTTACTTTCTTCTGTGGGTGGTTTAGTTCTCCTACTTCCAGGAGTTCCCTGCACTTCCCTGGCTGCTTAATGAGGACTTTCCCCTCCGCCTGGTCAGAATGCAAGCGTCCCTCAGTGTCGGTCTTTGTCTGACTTCACACACTTTCACAGGCATGTGCCCAGCTGAGTGTTCAGTAAGAACTCAAGGAGCGCCGGGTGCAGCCTCCGCTGCTTCAGCTGCACAGCTCCCTCTGCACATGGTCCTGGCCCTGCACATTCCCGTCGGCTCCGTCCACCCAGCCTTCGATGTCTCAGCTCAGCGAGGCTGTCTTGCCCTTGCATGGGGCCAGCTGCCTGCCTCGCAGTCCAGAAGGGTCCTGTGGAGAGAATGTGCTGATCACGGGCTCACTTTGTCTGCCCCCTTCTCTCGGGGATCAGTCTCGCCCTGCTTGTATTCCAATGTCTGGAAAAAGTCATTTTGCATATTTTTTTTCTGTTTTCTATTTGTTTTCAGCAGGAGACTGAGTGTGGCCCCATCCAGTCCATCTTGGCATCAGCCAAGAGCTCTAGCAATATTTTAGCCGTACCTCTTTGCACTGTCTTGGGGGGGGGGGGTTGCTGAGTGGATTTCACTGTCAATTTTAACTTACCACGTCTATTTAGAGTGAATATATTAAGTTTTGGCATAAAACGTACTTCCATTAAATCTGCCCCTACACTTCCCAGTGTTCTGAAGAACGCCCCTCAGCTTCTGTGTCAGCTGCGCCGTTGGCGATGAATTCCCTCCGATTTTGTCCATGGACGGTGTCATCATTTCATCGTCATATTTGAAAGACAGTTTTGCTGCTTTACAGAAACTGAGTTGGCATTTTTTTGTTTGACACTGTAAGGATGTGATTTCATTGTCTTGTGACGCCCCTCCCCCAATGCTTCTTCTGTTTCGAGAGTTTCTCTTTTTTTTTTAATTTTTAAAGAGAGAAAAACATCAAGTTATTGTTCCATTTATTCACGTATCATTGGTTGATTCCTTTATATGCCCTGACCCGGGTGGGACACACGGTGGCATATTAGGACGATGCTCTAACTAACTGAGCTACCCGGCCAGGGCAAGAGTTTCGCTTTAACTCTGGTTTTTAGCAGTAACTGTGATACGCCCATGTGTGCTTTCCTTTGTATTCATCCTGTTTGAGGTACGTTGAGTTGACAGGATCCCCTGAGTTGGTTTTTCACGTCCTTTGGGAAGTTTTTCGGCTGTTGTCCCTTCAAACAGGTCTCCGTCTCATTCTTTCAGTCCTCCCTCTGGGACCTCGGTGCACGTCTGTTGGACAGCACGATACTGTGCCACAGGTCACCGAGGCTTGGGTGTCATCGACCTTCAGATCGGAGCAACCATTGGTCAGCCTTAAATTTGCTAATTCTTCCGCGGGTGACCCCCAGTCTTATTTTCAAACCTCACTCCTGTTGAATTTTCAGGAAGATTGGGAATGTAAACTTGAAGATCCTGTAGCTTCTTGGTCCAATCTTCTGTGGCTGACTTCCGCAAAATGGAAATGAAACTTTTAAACAACAGCGTTTGTGTGTATTTTCGGAGCAACTGCTCTTCATAGTGGCAGCCAAGGCTGCTGCTGTTCTGGTCCAACTCTGTTCTTTACACAGATGCGGGTACGGGATGCCTTTTCTTTAACTATTAAAGTTTGTGCACGGGAGCAGCAGTTGCTGCTTCTCCACCTTCTGCAGAGTCTTCTAGAGTGTTTTACCTGAGCATCACCTTAGTGATGGGGGAGTTCCCTGTACTAGCCTCCCTCGGGCAGTGCAGGTCACTAAGTCAGGGACTAATGAATAACCTCGTGGCATTTCTCATTGTATTCTGATCAGTGGTGGTACAGTGTTTCTCACCTGGGAGTGATCTGCCCTCTGCCTGCTCCTTACCTGACCTCTGTTCACCTCCAGCCTCCAGGGCCCTCGGCTGAGCCCTTTGGAGAGCGGCCTGGTTCTCTGTTCAGTTGTTGGTGGCACTTTTCTGTGGGACTGTGCTAATGCTGCCAGCCAGCTGGACTGGCTGCTTCAAGAAGAGGCCAGGTTTCCTGCCGCAGTGCCCTGATGCGCCCCAATAGAGAGAGTCTTGGGTGGGGGCCCAGCCTGGCCGTGTTTTTGAAAGCAGGAGGCTGCAGAAGGTGCTGTTAGGAGCCCCAGGGTGGCGAGCGCGGGGCAGGTGACCTCTGCTGCCCCTCCAGAAGCTGAATGGGGGGGGTGTCGTTTTTATCCTATTGTTTAGGCAGGAAAACAGTTCAGAGAGGTCCAGTAATTTGGCCGAGAATAGCAACTGAGAAATGGTAAGGCAGGTGTGGGGACTGGAGACAGAGCTGGAGACCCCAGGGTGCCTGCAGCGTGCCGTCCATGCTCCCGGCCTGTCCCCCGCCCCTTTGTGAAGAAGGGGTGTGGCGGGCCCAGACTTGAGCAGATCCCACGGCTCCTTTCCATTCAGGATTCAGCCCGCCGCCCTTTATATTAGTGACACTAGAAATCTTTTGAAGGAATGAGCGTATACATCCGTGTGTGTTTTAAAAGTCAGATGTGTCCGAAATTTTCAAGTTAAATCAACGAAAATATGTTAGGCTGGTTTATGTTTTAAATTACTAGAACATTTATCTTCAAAGAAACACAGAGCATTTTGTTTCTCCTTTGTAGTTCCAGTCTTGTTGAATTACCTTGATTATTTCCACCTGCTGCGCTGTAGGACTCAGGAGTAGTTATGAGATCGTTTTCCTATGTTGTATGAACATGTGTAAATAAGAATTCTTATTTTCAGGTACAGATTTATGAGTTAGAGGAACACAAGATTGAAACGTGGAGGGGTAAGTACCGTTGGGTGTTTAGAATCTTTTAATCTATTAGAAGAGTAAAAATGTTCTACTTCATGTTTATAATATGTTTTAATTTCGCAGACCCTTTTCTGTGCTTAATGATAAACTACGTTAATTAAAGCATTAAAAAAAAATATTTTTTTTACTTATTTTGTGGAGACAGGGGAAGGGAGGGAGGAAGAGAGGGAGAGAAGCTTCGACGTGAGAAACTTTGTCAGTTGCCTCTCGCACGTCCCCAGCTGGGGGCCTGACCTGCAGCCCAGGCCTGTTCCCCGACCAGGTATCACACCGGTGACCTTTCACTTTGCCGGATGACGCCCAACGCGCTGAGCCACGCCAGTCAGGACAAACATTTATTTCTCTCTTTGCTTTGGTAGCATGCCCTCCTGCCATGCATAGTGTCCACTCTGTTTAATAGGAATTTATGGAGAACCTGTAGCAGGTCTTAGTGAAGATGAGTAAGCTAACCAGCACCCACGTCTCTGCCCCCCGCCCCGGGAGCCACCATTTCAGTAGGAAGTGTTACCCCCCCCCCCCAAAATTTGCCTTGGTACAGAAAGTGCACCAAGGAATGCCTGAGATGAACCAAAGCAAGGGTCTGTCCTTATTTGAGTTTACGCATCATTCCTTTACAAATCAGGGAGAAACGTGGAACCAGTGACCCTGAACTAGAAGGTTGGGACCAGCTGACATGAAACTGGGGTCCTGGTTGCTCCTGGTTGGTTGTGACATTGGCGTTTGCCCTTCGTAATCACAGCCCCCTTTTCTGAAATGGAGCCATTTTTGAATCCAGACTGCTCGACTGGGGAGCTGTTCTGTGTTAATGAGGCCCCTCAGCTGGGCTGGTGGGGAGGGGCACTGCCCCTCGGAAGCAAAACCGTAGACACAGGCCTGGCGGGAACCAGTGCAAGGAGCCTGTTCTGGGGGAAGGTGGCAGGGGAGGAGGATGCTGGGGAGAGATGGAGGGACCCATTGAAGGCCAATTTTGAACTGACAATTGAAATTTAGCTTCAGACTTCCCGTAACCTGCTTGGTTTGATAAGCAACCTTTGTGACCGGCTGGGAAATCTGAACATCTGTTAGGATGCTCCAAAGGGTTCAGGGACTTTTAATTAGAATTCTCTGAAGGGCTCAGGGACTTTTAATTCCGTGTGACCCAGAAGTTACATTGAGTGATGTACTTGATGCATGACAGCTTTATCAACCCCAACTAAACAACGTTGGTGTTGTTTATGGTGGTCCGTATCTTAACCCTGCCTGTCCTGACATGCATGGACATGTCATACATGGACATTTCATGAATGGACATGTAAACCCAGGTTTACAGTGGCGAGTATGCAAAACGGAGTTTATGCTCGTATTGCTATTTATTAACTCTGTTACTTGTATTACAACTGTAAACCTACATTTGCGAAACCCTATACACCTCAGTACCCACAGTTACTTGTTGCCAGATTCTCCTGTTAGACCAGATGTGAGTCTCTTTACATTTTGACATTACAAGGTTAGTCTGTAGTAATAACAATAATGTCAGACATTCTTGAATGCCTTCTGTAGAAAAGCCTCAGTAAATTAATTTGTTGATCTTGACAAAGATAATTTCCACCTACTAGAAGGATTCCCAGCATGCAGTGCGTTTGGAGCATTCATTTGGTAACGTAAAACTTAAGACCACTTCAAGGACAAAGTCCGTTACGGCTTTTGGTTTATTAACTCGAGAACATCCGTCCTAAAGGAGGTCACGAAGGCTTCCTCTCTTGCTGGGGACGTAGCTGTGTGGTGACCTCTGCTGGCAACGCTTTTATCGGCCTTGACGGCTTTTTTAGCACCTCTTGTATAGGACTCTTTTAAACATTTAATTTTTCCGCAAAGGTGGTATCCTGAACACAGCTTGGGGGATGTTTAAAACAACCATAAATGTAATGGAGACGACAGTTTCTGCTAAATTAAATTTGGTTTGGGTTTTTAATCTGATTATTATCTAGAAATTGCAGGGTATCTTGATTTATGTAGTCATTGCAAAGAGCAAATGTGTGACTAATTACATATTTTCTTTCTGTAAACGCAGAGCTTTATTTACAAGAAACATTTAAGCCTTTAGTGAACATATCTCCAGATGCAAGGTAAACTGGGGAAGCTTTTCTCCTTTGAAAATCTTCATTCAGATTCATCTGTTTCCTTACCGTGATTGGTTGGTTGATAGATTTCTTTTTTTAATCCAGATAAGGGCCAGCCTCCTTAATTCCACATAGTAAATTCAGGAAATCGAGAGACAATAGAAACCCCAGCCACCGTTGCTGCGGAAGATTGGAAATGGACCAGGGAGAGGGTCATACTCAGCAGCCTTAACGCCCCGATGCACTGCAGCAGAAACCCGGCAGGGAGCTGGGCACAATGGCGGGGTCCCAGGCCCGCCTCCCACCAATGAAAGCAGTCTGTGGAGAGCAGAGCCCAGGGATGCACCTTAAAACACCTGCCCCAGTGGTTCTCACACAGCCTCAAGTTGAAAAATCAGTCTCTGTTAGACCCCGGTCCAAGGGCATCCCAAAGAAGGGGCTGTGTTCTCAGAAGTCTCCTGGCCCGTACGTCTTGCTCCAAGCCTCTGGGACGGCTCTGGTCCATTTCCACATTCCTACGAAAGCATTCTCAACTCTATAGACTGCTGGAACAAAAAAGAGGAATGTTGATTTGTAGTATTTTATTTCCAAGTCCCAACAAACATAAAAAACACCACCCTCCATGCCTCCGAGTTGGTGGTCACAGGAGAGGCCAGCGGCCAGCCCAGGGGCCCCACTGGCCACAGACGCGGCTGCCACTCACGGTGTCCGTTAGCTTTCCCAGGGCTTGGCGTCTGTCATTTCTCAAATGAAAGCCATAAACGTGCTACTGAACAACGGCTAGAGACGCACAGCTCACAATCATGTACCTCACAGTCGTGTTTGAGATTCATTAACGCGGACTATGGTGGGCAAAAAAAATAACCAAAATATGTACTGCAATCTCTGATGTAAACTCTGATGTAAAACTCTTCCAAAACGCCCTTTTAAGTCAGTCAGCGTCTTATGATTATAATATGGGGACCCTGAGAAGCGCTTTTGAAAGCAGGGGTGGTCTGAAGTTTTCGCATTTTTCCCGAAAGCCTCCTAATCACTTTCCCGGCTCTTCCCACAGCCTCTTCGACGCTGTATACTCGCTGATTAAAAATAAAATCCACAGATTGCCCGTTATTGACCCCATCAGTGGGAATGCACTTTATATCCTTACCCACAAAAGAATCCTCAAGTTCCTCCAGCTCTTTGTAAGTAGTTTCTGGCATTTCTAAAGACACAGTCACATCTCCTTGAACTAAACCCACCTCCAGCGCGTTGGGCCCCATTGCCCTCGGGAGACGGGATCGTCGGGTTTGAGGCCTCTGTCTCTGGCTTTGGTTTCTCAGCTTTTTACTGTCTGAACTGTACGTTTCCAAAGTTGATTCCAGTTAAAAAGCCATCACCTTGTTCAGGGCAAGTGGCAAAAGAACAAAACCATTTGGGATCCTCTGTTTACGTGAGAATGTTCTACCCGCTAAAATAGGAGGGGGAATAAAGCAGTTGGCCAGTCAGTCTAATGAAGGAAGTGCTCCCCAAGGCAGATCGAGTCGGTTATTTATCGCGACTTGTCTTAGGGCGCTTGATTGGCGTCACGGTTTTGGAAATGCATTCACCAAGTGCTGTCCCCAGAATTAGCTTACCGTTAATTAAGGGCAGAAATGAGAGGGGAACCCAAAGCGAATAAAATTTCGGCAGGAGAACACCATGTTGGTCCAAATGAGGGCTGTGTCCCCTGCAGGGTTCCCCACTGCATCCGAAACGAGACAGGTTCGCAATCGTGCGAAACTTCAGACCCCGTTTGGTTGGCGGGTTTCACGGAGGCCCAGAAGGACCAGAGCGTTCAAGCTCTTCCTCTGAGTGACAGGCACCGGACTTGACTTTTTTTCCTTGTAAGGTCAACTAGAACGAGGGTGGCCTCGTGTCACGGTGCCAAAGAGACTGTTTGAAGAGTCTTTTTTTTTTTAAGAGGTTAACACATTAAAAAGTACATCTGATTAGCTCTCCCGTTTGCCTCCCCACAGCTTCACATAAGGTGATGGTGTAGGCTTCTGGTGGGGGGTGGGAAGGAGCCGGGTCCTGCTCCCAGATGCCACCCACCCCTGCTGAGCCGGGCACGGTGGGTGCAGTCCCTGGGAGAGGCTCTGCCCAGCACGCCGGTCCTGTATAGTAATAGATTATGTGGGAAAATAACACTCTTCCCATTAAAATTAACGATAAAGAAGGTAGCAAGAAGAAGGGTCACTTAGCAAAACAAGCATGAGGTTCCGGAGAAAGACAGCCGTGGAAGGAGAATCAGGGACGTGTGGACGCTGCGGGCCAGACTTGACATTGAGTGGTCTGATGCAGCCGCCTAGGGTCCGGGCAACAGTGCCGGGCGGGCACGAAAGGCCCACAGTCTTACCCGTGTAGCCTCCAGAGAAAGTACTTTAGAGGAACATTTACTTTAGAGGAACATTTACAGTAAGTCAGGCACTGACCTAGGCATGTCACGTGGTCAGTCCGAGCCTCGCCACCACCCTCTCAGGTTTTGTTCCTCCTGTTTCATGAGGGATGAAACCGAGTGAGGCCGAGTGACTGCTTTGGTCCCCGTGGGCAGTCTGACCTCCAGCCTGTCCCAGTCCGTCCCCCCCGCCCCCTGGCCTGTGTACACAGGCACCCAGCTCCCCCAGTCTCCAGACACAAAGCGGCCGGGTTCTAGCCCCCACCCTGCACCCCACGGCTCTGCTGCCGCAGGAAAGGGGCAATGGGGTGAGACCGGCCTTTGGTCTCTCTCTCCTGGGAAAAGTCCAGGAGGTCACCCTGCTGGGGCACCTTACATTTGGGCCAATATGGTAATTAGAGTCATTCTGTTAGAATAGCTGGATAGCTAGAGGTTTTCGGGTCACAGTGCAGAGTTTTAAAGACGTTTCAGAACCTGGTTTCTACCTTTCTGAGAAAAAGGAGCGATCCCCCCTCAGAGACAGCCGACAGGCAGCCTCAGCACGCAGGATGGAACCAGGGCGGCCCTGCCGTGGGCTAGGTGACCTAATAGGTCTTCTTTTTTTGTTTTCTCTAAATTTCCAGGAGTCTCATGCTTTGAATATTGATGAACTCCTTGACTTGAACATTTTGTTTCTTCTAATTGTTCATCTTTTCCCGATAATTATAAGGTACACCAGGAGGATGGAATCGACCAAACCCTTTCTAAAAGGTGGATTTTTGAAACCATAGACCTTATTTTGTTTTAGTCAAACGTGATCCTATACTTCTCTCTTCTGCCTTCTCCCTCCTCCTTTAAAACAGCTGTGAAAAAAGTTAACTTTTAAAAGTTCTTTTAATTCTGTTCAGTTGGCTTGTCCTTTATGCCTAGTAGACAAAACGGGAGCCCTCCCAAGGAGAGAGAGTTCAGGATGTGGATGGAGGCGGGATGGCGTGAGGATGCGCTCAGCCGCTCAGGGAGCCACCATCAGACACGTGGGCTTGGAGACCTGCGGGTGCTTAATACACGACCTGGGAGGGCCACAGGCCCGGGGATTCCACGTGCATACTTAAGAACAAAGCGTTCTTGCTGGTTTCTGGCTTTTAGTTTCTAAAAAGACCTGCTGGTCCCTTCCATCCTCTTTTCCACTGGGTGCAGAGAAGGGGAAACAATGCTACGGCGTTAGTGCCTTGAGATGCTTGACTAAGCAGTTAAACAGAATAGACCCACATGCTGGTGGGAGCAAAAGAGAGCTCTTACCCTGTGGCATCTCCGCATTCATTCAGGCACCCAGGTGGAAAGTTGGAAAAGACCCACTGTAGTGTGTCACACTAGTTCCTCATCCGTGTGCACGTGTGAACGCGGAAAGGGGCCTCTGGAGCCTCTAGAGCCTCTCCCTTCCCCTCCGTGCAGATGTCCGACATGCCGAAGCCGGCCTTCATGAAGCAGAACCTGGACGCGCTGGGCATCGGGACCTACGACAACATTGCCTTCATCCACCCGGACACGCCCATCATTAAAGCCCTGAGTGTGTTCGTGGAGAGACGGGTGTCCGCCTTGCCCGTGGTGGACGAGTCAGGTCTGTGTTGGCCTTGAACAGGAATGACGGGGTATCTCAGGAGCGTCGGGTTGCCGTCACACGGCCCAGGCTCCCGGGGTGTCCAGCCTTTCAGCATCTCTGGTCCACACTGGAGGAAGAAGAGCTGTCTGAGGCCCCACATTCAATACATTGAGACACGTGATCACAAAAAAATCTCATCGTGTTTTAAGTAAATTTATGGTTGTGTGTTGGACCGGATTCACAGCCATCCTGGGCTGCAGGGGGTCTGCAGGCTGGACACCCCTGACCCCAGCCCATGTGCCAAGTGGAGGAGGTGGACATTTAGGTTGGGTGGATAAACTCAGTGCCCGGGGGCACTCGGGACAGAAAGAATTACAGAGTGGCTTGTTTTTACTAAGATGTGCATTTAAACTTCATGTGTATTTAAAAACAGGCATGTTTCTTTTATTTAGCAATATGTATATCTTAATTATTACCTAGTTACGGCTGATTTTAAATGTCATTTTGTGTTCCTAAGACAGCTGGCTAACATATATCTTCATTTTTAGGAAAAGTTGTGGATATTTATTCCAAATTTGATGTAATTGTAAGTATTCTCAATTTTGTTAAGTCTGCCATCTCAAATGTGATTTTTTTAAAAAGATTTTATTTATTTTAGAGAGGGGAAGTGGGGGAGAAAGAAAGGGAGAGAACATCAATGTGTGGTTGCCTCTCAAGCGCCCTCTGCTGGGCACCTTGCTTGCAACCCAGGCATATGCCCTGACTGGGAATCGAACTGGCGACCCTTTAGTTTGCAGTCCGGCACTCAATCCACTGAGCCACACCAGCCAGGGCTAGAATGTGTTTAAAACATTAAATAATCCGTTTTTGTGGTTTTCTGTAAATTAATGATTTCTTTTTTTGAGTGTAAAGATCTTATCAAGAGAATTCCATAGACTCTCCCTAGTAATTGTACTTCTAATATCGGTTTAGCAAACGCAAATGTATTAGTAGCATTTTGTAACTCTTCCATCTTTTTAGTGCATGTAGTGTTTACCCGTCACCGCAGCACGTATGTGTCTGTATTTGAAATGGTCATTTTTCTGTGCAGGAACATTATTTATTCCCCCAGTGGGCACATGCTCAGTGCACATGAATTTGGTGTCATTGTTCGGTGACTGAGGACAGCTGTCCTAGAGAAGACAGCAAATGCATTAAATAGTAACGTGAAGTCCCACGTGAACCCCTGGTTTAACTCTGCTGGGTTGACGTTGCTGCTGCATCTTTCTACGCAAGGCTTCTCTCCTCGTTCATTTTAAATGCACTTCCTGAGAATCTGCCATTATTTTGACGAAAGGGAACTGAAACTGCAGTAGCTCCATCCAGCTGTCTCAGAGCGTTTTGTTTCATCCATAGGCTCATTGGAATTTGGGTGGGCGGGACCTGCTCAGATTAATCAGAACCCCGAGGGGCTCTGGTCGCAGGCTCGCCAGCCCTGTGACACTTCCCACCCGAGGTTAGTCCCCCTCTCAGAAGACCCCTTATTCAGGCAGGGAGCTGTGCAGGGTGAGGATAGCAGGAGGTGGGGGCAGTTTAGAGGGACATGCGGTCGAGTTAGTGGCTTCCTGATTGAGGTCCACCTTGTGAGCCTCAGTGACGGCCTCAAAGAGGATGACAGTGCGGGTGGCCTCTCACGAGCTCCCTGTGCCGGGGCTGAACAAGCAGTCACGGGTTTAAAATCGGGCTGCTTGACACTTACTCGTTCGGGTCATTGACGTGAAGTGAAATGAAAGCGTGTAATTCCCTCTGTTGCCTTATTACAGAACCTTGCTGCTGAGAAAACGTACAACAACCTAGACATCACGGTGACCCAGGCGCTTCAGCACCGCTCCCAGTATTTTGAGGGCGTTGTCAAGTGCAATAAGCTGGAAATACTGGAGACCATCGTGGACAGAATAGTACGAGCAGAGGTGAGATGTTTCAGGTTCCTCCCTCCCCACCCCCACCTCTGCCCCCCAGGCCACACAAGCCCCATCCCGTGAATGGTGCCTCGGGTTGTGAATCTCTGGACTGGCCTTTGGGGCTGCCACCAAGTTCATTGGGATGGTGCCGTCTCTCAGTGCCAGAACCTGGCATGTTACTGGCACATAGTAGGTCTTCTCTGAATGTTCACTGAATGGGATTTTTAAGTCCTGATATCATGGTTGAATCCGGTAAACTGGTAAGATACTCCCACGGTTTAAAAATACATACTGAGTAAACCAAACTCCCAAGAGCTGTAAGTTCCCTTTGGGTATTTATGAGTTGAAAGCTAAAAATGCTCAATTACATGGTTTTAACAAAGTAAATGATAAAATGTACTCTGATTTTTATTAAGTAAAAGTACAATTTCTCTCTTCCCACTGGTACCTCTGTCTCCTGATTCAGGTGAACAGTGCGTGTCTGGTGACCTCGTCTCCTGACCCCACACACTCACGTCCCGTCACCCTTACCGTCTGCAGGGTTGCCCGGTGTGCCACGTAACAGTCTCATTCCAGGACAAGCGAGGTCGTTTCATAGCACACCTAATTCTGCACGCCCATCCCTACATCCTTATTCTTCCTTGTTAGACAGCGAGGGAAGTACCCTGTCCATCACTCTGGGGCTGAAGGAGGCAGCTGCGATCCCTCTGGGACACGCCCCGATTAGGCAGACTCAGCCCATCCTGATCGGCATGTTTGATGCTTATTTTGACTGAACGCACAAACACAGCCCAAGAAGAGTGCCTTAGACTAATAACGGGCAGTGGACTTGCTTTCTGAACGTTTCCCCTGAAGGAGGGCGCTCCCTCTCGGGAACCGTCATTAGCCCCCCCCAGCCCTGTTCCCTCTGCTGGCTGACAAGCCCCACCCTGCCCTGGCCTCTGTGGAGGTGACGCCCCAGCTTCACCTGCTGTGGCTGCTAAGGCGTTTCCCTGGAATCTCAGTAGGAAGTCTTTCCTTCTTCTACCTGAATGTAGCATCCATCACTACTTGTTTGGCAAAGCAGTTTAACTGACTTAGGAATATATGATTTTATGGAGGTCCTTAGAATTGCGTGCCTTTTGAGGATTATCAGCGGAAACAGACCAGGGGTCCCGCCTATCTGTAAGCAGAGTGGACATCCAGATGGTGGCGTCCCCTATGATGAGTAAAAATCGTGCTGTAGGAGAATTTTGTTGCCATGGAGAGACATGAACCGTGTACTGCCAAGAGAAAAAGCCAACTGCCACACAGCCGTGTGACTGTAATACACACATGTACCCATGGACAAGCGGCTAGAAGGACCCGCACCCCAGTGTGACCTCGTCTGCCTATGGGTGACTGCACCCTGGTTGTGCCAAAGCTCCCCGTGGCCCTCAGCGCCCCGGCGTGGGCAGGTGCCGCTGTCGGGTAGAGGAGGAAAGGAGCTGGCTGGTCTTTGAAGTTCATCTGGCGAACAACAGAAATTTCACGACTGTGCAAAGCAGGTCATGGAGGAAAGTAAAGACGTAGTTAGTTTCTCAAGTTAACCATCCTGGCTTCTTTCCTCATTAAAATAATTCCTTTTAGCAGATGACTCCTTGGCCAGGGGCCAAGACCGATTTTTAGCTTCCGCACATTGACTAGTTGGATAGGAGCAGGGTGTGCAGTGTCGGCAATGGTTCAGTTTATTTGCATGACCTAAAGGTCGCACTGGCTTTTACATACCTCAGAGAAGGGACTTTCGTAAAGTCCAGACTCAGCAGCAGAAGGCGAGAAGACACTTTCACTGGTCATCTCTGTCCAGTAGAATTTGTTCTCCAGGTGGGAGAGTTTCCCCTTGACCTTCAGCAGCTCAGAAGACAGTCAGGGTTCTCAGAATGTAGACCTCGGTCCTGGAGGTCAACCGTCATTTTAACTTACAGTTATTAAATGTGTAGTTACATCACAGGATTATTGAAGAACCCAAGTGTTTTAGAGAAACTTGTGAAAGAAACATACGTTGATTAGTGTGAGAAAGATGACAGTGATTTTTTTCAGCCCAAAGCAAGCTAGGGTGCCAAGAGCATCACCAGAAGTGTCACTGAAGGCAAATGAGACAGAGCCAGGGCGGCGGCGGGGAGGACCCTGAACCCACCCTGCCCACAGGCACACTCGCAGGTCCACCTTCGAGGACTCGACAGGTCTGTGCAGAAAGTATCCAGCCGTGCACCACGGGAAAGAGGTGTTTCCTGAAGGAGACAGAAGACGCGCTGTGCACAGGACAGGGACGCCTCAGTCCCCTTCACAGTAGAGACCTTGGGACCTCACACAGTTCTCCCAGTCTCCATCAGCTGCCCCATCGTATTTTCCTGAATCTCGTCGTGGTCTGAAATCTCTTCCCTTTCAAAGGTGATTTTAGTTTGGGGAAAATACAGAAGCTGCGGGGCACCAAATCTGGGCTGTACAGGTCCTAGTCACCTGGGTGATTTGATGTTTCACCAAAAATCTCTGCAGGAGACGTGATGCGTGAGTGGGCACGTTGTTGTGATGAAGCTGCCAGTCACCAGTTGCCTATAGCTGTGGCCTTCTGAGTCATCCAAATAGTTTCCATGGAGGAATGTTCAAGCTTAATGCAAAATCTGATGTAGATTTGTTGCTCTACTTGCTCAGTCATCTTGAATGCGATGGCCATGCAGTGCACATGCTCACTAAACAGCATCTGCTGTCCCCACTGACTAGTCCAGTGAAGTCGTCAGACAAGAACAAGGGAGCGAATAGAGAAGCCGGGAGAAACGGCAGCGGCTCTCCAGGGTCAGAGGGCCCATGAGCACCACTGCTCACATCCCCGTCCACCCCGATACCCAGGTGCTCTGGCCCACCTGTGCGGTGTCACAGCGCATTCTCAGATGCATGCCCAGAGCCCATTTCAGCCCCCACAGAAAGGGAGCAAGCAGCATCAACAGGGTGCCCCTGCATGCCCCTGGCCCCCCTGCCCAGAGCCACTGCAGACTGGCAGGCCCAGCTCCAGGTACCAGAAGTGCCCACCTGGCTCCAGCCAGCCTGCCAGAACCACCTGGCACATGGCCTACCCAGAGGTCACGGCCACCTTTTTAAGGCTGAGAAAGGCTGCTATTTTGTGTAATTTGTGTAAGCAAACATAGAAAGTCAAAACAAAGTGAAAAGAGAGAAGACAATCTCAAATGAAGTTAGAAGAAAAATAACCTAAGAAAGGGGAGACATGTCATTTCGCTGATGAAGAGACGGCCACACGGTGGGTGCTCTCCAAACTCGAGAGGGGAACAGAACTTCGACAAGGAATTAGCGTAATAAGGAACTGAGCAGAGCCGAAGAATACAATAACCGAAGTGAAAACTACTCTGGAAGGAAGGACTCAACGACAGATTAGCTACTACAGAAGACTGGATTAGGGACTGGGAGACAGACTCGTGGGAGTCCACCAACCAGACCAGCAGGGAAGAGAGAAAGAATTTTTAAAAATGAGGGCAATTTAAGGAAGCTCGGGGGGGACATATCAAGCACAAAGGCATTCACATTATCGGGATCCCAGAAGAAGAAGAAAGAGAAAGGAACCAACACTTTATTTGAAGAAATAATGGCTGAAAACTCCTAACCAGGCAAAGGAAATAGACACCCCGGTCCAGGAAACACAGAGAGACCAAATCTTGTTGTAATTAAAACGGGAAAGTGAGGGATGAAGAGAGAATGTTTAGGCTGCAAGAGGAAAACAGTCACATGCCAAGGAAACCTATAAGGCTATGTGTGGCCTTGGCTAGCAGGACTCAGCAGGTTGGGTGTTGTCCTGCAGAACGAACGGTCGTGGGTTCCATTCCCAATCAGGGCACACTGACTTGGGTTGCAGGTTTGGGGCCCCTGCCAGAACGTGTATGAGAGGCAACCAGTGTTTCTCTCTCCCTCCCTCTCTCCTTCCTCCCACTCTTTCAACCCCTCCCCCCTCTCAAAAATAAACTTTTTTTTTTCAAATTGTCAAGCAAATCAGCATTGCATTTGAACATTAGAGCCAAAGACCTTTACGTGGTTCTGTACTGTTACTCTCTCTCTCATTTGTGGGGTGCAGTCATCGTAAAGCGTATGAAAGGCGGTATTTTTCTATTTTCCACTTTAAAACTTTGTATTGCAGCTTGCTCACGCGGCCTACCTTTCTCTCGTTTGCAGGTCCATCGGCTGGTGGTGGTAAACGAAGCCGATAGTATCGTGGGTATTATTTCCCTGTCGGATATTCTGCAGGCCCTGATCCTCACCCCGCCAGGTACCAAGGCCAGCTTCTGACCTTCACCTCCTGAGACAGGAGCGGGCACAGCCCGCCCTGCGTGTCCCCTGCAGGGCGGCCTTCTGTGGCTTCCTCTGTAAACCATCGCCATTTTCTCTGAGGTTGTGAGGTTTCACTCTTCTACTTGGGTGAGAGAGAAAAGTCCATAGAAAGCATTCTGACTTGGCCTATCTCTGCCCAGCCGTGCCCGAATAATCAAGGATTCACTGCCAAGTTCATCACAACTTTTTCCATTAAAAAGCTGCCTAAAAAGCTAAGACCTCTTCAGTTTTGTTTTAGTTTTAGGACTACTAACTGGAAAACAGAAGGGAAAAGTCTTTGGGTTCTAATTGTTGAAATCTTCACTTACCCCTCAGAGAGAAAGTCAGCTTTCTGGTGTTCTGAATATATAACACAAAAGACTACAACACAGCTTTTTCCATGAATAGTGTGTGGAAATTACATTAACTACTACACAGCATGGATGGCTAAGCTCATTTTTGCCAGGCTCACTCTGAGGCCGCCCAGGGGTCGCAGCCAGGGCCCCGCGTGGCGGGGGGGGGGGGGGAGGCTTTAGGAGGGAGGGGCTGGTGTTTCTCCTGTGTGGGGCGGGCTGAAGGGGTCCTAGAACCAGCAGCCCCCTCCCCCTTCTTCTTTTTCCTCCTCCCCTCTCTGCCCCCAGTACATTGGCCACACAGACAGGAGCCTAACTCACGTGCACTTTGCACTCTTGGAAGTTAAACATTATAGTATATGTACTACGGTATTGATTTTTCTTCCGTTCAGAAATCCAACTAGCTAAGACTGTTTTCACAGTCGACCTATCACCTAAAGATGCCCACCCTGCAGGACTGCCCACCGCCACCGAGTGGGAACGCCAGGACCGTCCCTGCAGCTGAGCAGGGACCCACAGGCCTGGAGTAAGCCGCACCTGGGCTGGTCAGAAGGCGGACTGAGGGCCCCCGCCCACATCTTTCAAATCAGGAACTACACTGGAGACCTGGTGCGGTCACTGTAAAATTTGAGATAGTGGAGAACATGAAACTCATGATAATCTTTATAATCATGAAATGCTACTACAGGAACTAAGCAAATGTGAGATTGTTCGTAGCATTAGGTCATAACCTAAAGTTGGCGGTAATCCAGGTATCTGTGAGCAGAACAGACGGTTTTTTTTCCATTCATCCAGGGGAACGCTACAAGCATTCACCCCAAACACACCGAGATACGGACAGTGGACAACCCCCCCAGACAGCAGCCAAACTCAGACTCTCCAAAGGCACCTAAGTAGCCATACACACCACCAATGAGTCAGCAAGTGGTCTGAGGGCGGTGGCCACGGATTTTTAGCCCCTTTTTCACAGATGAGTCTCTTTCAAAGGCTGAGGGCCTGATGAGAAAATAGGGGGGCAACTGCCGTGAGGAGAAGAATGGTAGAACTCTCTGCTAACCCATTCTGAAACACCCCGGAGGCATCAAGTTGGCACCGTGTGTGATTATCCTTAAACATGATTCAAGTTGGGTTGTTGTTTTTTTTTAACACTTCCATGTGCACAGTGGAAATAGTTTGCATCTTCACCAAAACATAACGCACACTTCTTTTAAAATTCTTCAGCAGCAGAACCCTTCTCCGAATTGAGTCACACGTTTTTAGAATCACAGCATGTAACGTCAAAAATGTGCTGGGGTGCTGGTGGGTGGGGCTGGGGAGCCTGGAGCCCACCTGCTCAGTCCCCCCTCGTCCTGCCGAGGCCCTGCCTGGGGGGACAGACACCCACCCCCAGGGTGGAGGACCCCACCGCTGTCACGGATTCTGATGTCGCTTTGAAACTTTCCCTCTTCTAACAGGTGCCAAACAAAAGGAGCCGGACACTGAATGACGACCGGGATTGGAGGCGCCCTTTTGGGACTTGAATGAAGATTCTGGGTTGCACTTTGCCTCATCCACACCGACCACCACAGAAGAGAGGAAAAGGGCCAAGAACGTGTATCAGGGTTTAGCGATGGGTATTCTTCCCAGTGATGTTGAAACTAAGCGTTTAAAACAAACAAAGATTTTGTGTGTTTGAAGAGCTGGGCCTGCATCGTCAAGGCTGTTTTTGGGCCTCTGTCTGAGAGATTTCAAATGCCGTACGTCTAATTAAAGCGCGCTGTGCCCTGACGTGTTTATTTTCTTTCCCGAGAATCCACTGGTATGGGGACAGGGAACGTGACATAAGGCGAGCGTGTGGCATGTTCAGACCTAGTGCCTTATGTCAGGACAGCGACACGTCCCCACTCCTGCTGGGGACAGCGTGTGCGTGTGCGAAATGACACGGCTGGCGTGTGAGTCTTCGAACCTTCACCAGATCAGTTTCTTTTTCCTTAGATTTGTCAAGCACTTGTACTCTGAGCATAAATGACTTTATAAAGTTTTAAGGACAGTTTTCTGTTCGAGTGTCTGGACTGCCGCGTAAGCGAGAGCGCTTTATTTATTTTTCCCTTCCCTGCGATTCTTGTGCACGTCTTTTGGGGGGCGAGCATCACCATGCCCGTGGATAAACCATCGGGGGTTCTTTGGAAATGGCAAGCTGCTCATTATTTAAGCCCGGGTGTGGCCAAGCCCCGTGGCTTCTCAAACAGCCGCTGGGTTTGCCGCACTGGAGTTGGAAGAGCGTGTGTGCAAACCCGCTCCGCTGGCCTGGCAGCAGGCGGCGGGTCCGAGGACACCGAGTGCCGGGAAGACGCGTGCTTCTTGTGTGTTGGAATGTAAAGCCGTGCTGTCTGGGTGACCGCCGACGCGATTGCTTCTGTGAATCCAACTGTGGCAGGTACGGCGTAGTCCTGCGAGCGAAGAGAAACGCAGCGTTGCCGGGTGTAACTGCTCCGAACGTGTTCGCACTGTACATACGAGTATAGTTTTGTTTTCTGTTTTGTTTTGGGGTTTGTTTTTTGGGTTTTTTTTTTCAGATTGAAAAATTAAAATAAATCTTACTATCTACCATTTTGTGAATGGAGTTCTTTAAGATACCATGTGTTTCATCAGACATTCATTAAAATTCCACGTGCCGTTCCCCACTTAAGACATTTCTCCCCCCAAAAAGGATAATGTGGATTCTCATATCCTTCTTCCATCATCGAGCGGTTGCAGGGGGAACCTTAATAATTCAATCCCTCAACTTACCATCTCTCCATTATTCAGTAGAACGCATCTAGTTTAAAAACTGCCTGCAGACTTTCTTGTACTCAGATGTCAATTTTTTCCATTCCTAGTTGGCCAGACACGCAAGTGCGTGTTTCCCCCATTGAAACAGTAGGGGTTGGGACTTAGGCCGGTGGGCTACTTGGGAGAAAGGAACAGAATTACAAAGCTGCTGAAACCCTGCATTTTTGAAACTCAAAGCATCTTCTCGTCCAGCCCCTTGTCTGTGAAGCCACACGAGGACCCCAAGGGACAGGGCATGGGGATGGGCAGTGTATCTGCTGCTGCCAAAGGACCCTGGGTGGGGCTGCTTACAGAGAAACGTGGCCTCATTTTCCCTCCCTGCAGGGTGCCAGCACGCACGCATGCCCAACACGAGGGTTTGGAGCAGGCCTGTGTCGCCCCGTCTGGTCCTTAGACAGCCACTAGCAAAGGCCCCTTGTCCTCTGCTGCCGTCAGAGTCTGCGTCTGTTCCCCAGGTGGTAGGTGTGCTGCTCCTCGCCCTTCTGGGAACAAAGCACGTAGCAGGCAAAGAAGTCCCCAGGTGAAAGGTTTCTAAGGAAAAAGGCCTAACCCCGGTGTCCAAGTTTGGCATCTCTGGACCACACATTAAATACACAAAACACCAATAAAAACAAAAGTCTCATAATGTTTTAAGTAAATTTAGGGTTTTGTATTGGGCTGCAGGTTGGATACCCCTGGAAACCCTGGCTAAGACTCAGGTGTTGGCTTAAACTGCAACACCCACCAGGACTTGTGGGCAGTGGGCTTGATGGACACCCGTGGTGCCCCCAGCAGGGACTCTGGGGGCCCTCGCCCACAGGAGGAGCTGCTGGCATCTCAAAGGGCTGCTGTGAACAAATGAGTGACAACTGAAACCCACAAGCATTTTGGAAACACCACACCTGCCTGGGTGATGGAGGGCGTCTGTTCTGTGTTGTAGGCTACTCTCTTTAAAAAAAAATGAACTAATCTCATTTCGTCGAACGTTTTTCCTCAGAGACACATTTGCATGAGCAGTCAGTCCCCTTAACTGCTTCTTAACCAGGGGACATCTGACCCTGGGGGGGGGGGAGTTGTCACCCTGGGAGGCAGGAAGAGGGGCCTGGCATCTTGGTGGATAAAGGCTGAGGATGCCTCAAAGCCACCTACACGGCACAGAGCGGCCTCCATACCAACAGTATCCAGCCCAGGGTATCTAATGTTAGGAACCTGGTCTAAACAATTAGAACGTTAAGGGTTTATTTCCATTTAACATTTGTTACTTTCTAACTGACTCCACCGTCTTTGAAGAAAAACTCAGCCCACAGGTTTTCAGGAAAAAGCACCAATTGACACATTCACCCACAAATAAGCACAGTCTGTCTGACCTTCGCCAATTCCCTTCAAAGCATTTCACCAGAGAGGGAACTTGGCTTTGCATAATGGTTCGCTCAGGAGAAAATTCCAACCCATGGGGAAGTCCTCAGAAAGTGCATTTTACTCTCATAAATTTGAAACACTCTCAAACTGTTTTTCACATAAAAATCCCCACGATGCTGGCATAAAGATGTAAGTCCATGTGCAGACCATGCTCCAAGCACCTTCACACGGGAGCCATGAGATCCGTCCCCTGTGGACCTCCGTGTGCTTTGGGACATCACCCCGAGGCTCCCAAAGCACACCGGGGTTCCTTCCTGCAGGAAGGACGCGAGAAAACCCAGCACCCAATTCTCTCTTGACTGCGCTTGAAGTGCTGCTGACCTCTCCCTATGAGGACCGCAAACCAGAACCTGCCAATGCCCAGAAATCCAGCTCCGACTTCCAGGTATCGCCTCCCCACCCCCAAACCCCCATCACCATCCCGATTCCGGATCCCATTCCAGGCCAGGGCCCTTAGAGGGCCCATCTCACAGCTGTGCCCACTCGCCATTGTTGGGAACTCCTAACACCTTCCCTCCCCCGCGGTCTCGGGCCGTCGGCAGACAGGACAGTGGTCACCGCTGAGTCTAATGCAGCTGAACACTGCCACACGTCACAGGCCTGAGGCCACCGTGCACTGCAGCGCCCCCTAGCTCTGGTGAGAAGTGCCTCCTAAAGGGACTCCCTGCCTAGCTCGCAAAGTCCCTTCCGTCGCCCTCCTCTGAGTTGTGCCCCAGGAACCCTGAGCAGTCAGGCACCATGCTGACCACCGTGCTGCTTCAGACACGGCCACAGCTCCCAAGACCAAGCGGAAACCTCCAACTACTGCCCACGAGGCCGGCAAGTTCCAGGCAAGGGCAGGGCCGGGAGAGGGTGGCGCCAGAGCCAGCAGGCCTGCTTCCTGGCACTGCCGCGCACCCAGGAACCTGCAGCCGGGCGTCTGCTCTGCGTGTCCCAGAGTGGGTGGGTATACGCATGCGCAATCTGGAAATGCCGGTAACAGGAACGATCGCGTTGACACAGTGGTCTGCTGAGCCCCTCCAGAAGGTAACGATGCCCTGTTCGTCTCCACATTCACCCTGGCAGGTCTCTAGCACCTAGTCGGCTCCACGTGGTTGGTGAGTGGTTGGTGGAGGCCAGGACACCCAGCAGGATAATGGGGCCTGTGAGATGCTTCAGTCACACGAAGCTTTGCCCTCAGAATTGCCCCCTGATAAAGTCAGGACATGCAGGGTCATCTGCAAATTCAGAGGCAGCCCCTCCTCCGAGCAGTACAGGGCTCCAACCAGGACATGCTGAAGGCGGGTCCTGAGGGTGAAGGTACTGTCCCCACCACAAGGGGCACTTTCTTATCCGGGAAGGGGACCTGGGTGCCCATGGGCCCCTGAGGTCAGGAGAGAGCTGTCCTCCTGTAAGAGGTGCCAGCCAGCCCAGAGGTCAAGAGCCCAGGGCAACTCAGACCTGGGAGGGAGCCCCCTGCCCTGCAGAGAGCAGGCAGTGCCAGTCAAACTCCCAGCAGGCTTTTCTGGTAGAAAGTGACAAGCAGATTCTAGCATTTGAATTAAAATGTAGGGCACATAGATTAACCACGGCTGTGAAAAAGAAAAGCAAGTCTAGAGGGATAAAGCTATCTGATGTCAAGACTGACTAGAAAGCCACAGCAATCAAGACAGTATATACTGTGGCTGCCAAAACAGACAACTGCGTCCACGGGCCAGACAAGCGTCTGGAAACAGAGCCACCCCTACGTGGGCAACTGAAGTTTGGCACGCGTGCAAAGGCAGGTCCGTGGGGAAAGGAGAATCGTTTCGGCACACGTGGGATCCTGCAGGTCCTCAGATAACATTTCCTTATGGCGCTGATGGGGGAAAAATGGATTCCTGGCCAAGGCCACTGTCTGTGCGGAGTTGGCACATTTTTCTCATGTCTGTGTGGGGTTTCCTGGGGACCCTGCTTTCCCCCCACACCCTAAAGATGTGCAGTGAGGTGAACCCAAGTGTCTCCACTGACCTCGTCTGAGTGTGGGTGTGAGTGGCCGCTACAACCCCGTCACTCCCCGAGTCACCAAAAATTGGGTGAGCACGGCAATTATCTTGTGTTTATTCATCTTTCTTAAATGTATGTGAGACTCACACTTACTTTAATGCTTAATATTAGAAGTGTCTTGGGTCTTTATGTGTGTGCTTTGGTGATGTTTTTGTGACCAGAAACAGGCTGTGGGAACGTAACTCTTCTTTACATGATTGTATTATGGTAAAAGTGAGTCCATTACAGGTCAGTTTGCTTAAAGTCACAGTTTCCAAGAACCTCTCGATGACTCTGAGGAGTGAGGACTAACCGATCCACGCACACCAAAGGACTTTGGTCCACACCTTCTACCGCATGCAAACATTAAAACAAAGCTGAACGGTGTTCAGGAGATACGCAACCCAGAATTTTTATAACACACCCATAATGTCACTCTAAAATAAAAATTACTAGCTGTGGAAAGACACAAAAACATATGTCCTGTAATCAAAAATCATCTGCTAAAAGCAGACCCATGAATGATCCAGATGTTACAATTAGTGCAAAAAGATTTAAACATAATGATGATAAGAATATTAAAAAACCTACAGAGAACACAGGTATGCTGGGTAAAGACAGGAGAATTTAAGGAGAGAGATGAAAACGGTAACAGAGAACCAGACAGAAATCCTGAAGAATACAGTATCCAAATTTTTTTAAATCATTACACTAGAAAGGGGAAAACAGAGAAAAGAATAAACAAAGGCTTTTTTGGGTAGAAAGCTACCAAACTGCCTAAAACTGGAGTAAAACTGGGGTCCCAGAAGGAGCAAAGAAAGAATATGGGGCAGAAAAAAATACTTAAAAGAAGTATTGCTTGGGAAATTCTCCAAACTGGATCAAAACCAGTACCTCACAAATCTAAGCAGCTCTGTTAACCTCAAAGAGCATAAAAGCAAAGAACCCGACTCACAGACACATCATACTCAACCCCCCGAACACCAAATATAAAAAGAAAATATTAAGGCAGACAGAGCAGGGGATATGCACATACAGGGAATAATAACATAATAGCTGACGTCTCACCGGAAAAAAGCAGAGCCCAGAAGAAAATGGAACCACCTTTAAAGGACTGAACCACACTCTTACACACACACAAATGCACGCATGTAAAACTGGTGCAACCTGAACAGGATCTGAGAGCCGGACCAATTTCAGTCTCTTGGTTTCGATACTGTGCTGTATTCATGGAAGATGTCACCATCCAGAGAACAGTCCAATAACTATTTTTGAAAGTGCCTGCTAACCTGTAATTGCTTCAAAATAAAAAACAGAGAAATAAAGAGAATTTTCAGATAAATCAGTTGTGCATCTGTTTCCTGGAGACAGCAAGAAATGCTACAGGAAGTTCCGCGGGCAGATGGGAACTAGCAAAGCCGAGCTCTGGGGTCTGTGAGGGCGGCCCACAGCGACTTCCTGCCGAAGGGGGACAGCACAGAAAGGCAGGAGGAGTCACCTGCCGGAGAAGGATGACACACTGTCCCTGAGCCAGGCGGCCAAGGCCAACACCCACAGTGATAACACACTGGTAACGTGCGCTTGCTGCAATGTGACGAGCTGGGTCTCCCTCCCAAAGCCCCACGCTGCCACGCGGAACCCCAGCACAACTTTGGGTGAGTCCCAGCTGAGCAGCGCCCCTCAACACTGTCCGAGTCACCAGAAACAAGAAAACTCTCAGAAACCATTTCAAGAGGCGTGTAGACGGGTGACCGAACGCAACGCGGTACTCTGGACAGGATCAGAGAACAGAAAAAGGACAGCAGGGGAAACCGAGGAACTCCAAACACTGTGTGAGCCGCAGTCAGTAACCGTGTGTCAGGATGGGTTAACTAATTCTAACCAATGGACCACACAGTGTAAGATACTAGCAATGGGGCGGCTGGGTGCAGGACGTATGGGAACACTCTATAGCATCTTCGCCACTTTTCTGTACATTTAAATCTCCTCCAAAAAACAAAGTTTATTTTAGAAAATAAAAGACTCAAGGGATACAAAAAAACCAATTGTACTATACGGACTTTATGTGGATTCTGACTTGAACAAATGGTTAAAGAAAATCATGAAGTGTTGGCCCTGGCTGGGTGGCTCCATTGGCTGGAGCATCATCCTGACACCAAAAGATTGAAGGTTCCATTCCCGGTCAGGGCACATACCTGGGCTGCAGGTTCGATCCCTGGTCAGGGTGCGTGCAGGAGGCAGCCAGTTGGTTTCTCTTTCACATCGATGCTGCTCTCTCCTCCCCTCACCTCTAAAATCAATAATAAAAAATACCCTTGGGTGAGGATTAAGAAAGAGAGAGAGAGACAGAGAGAGGCAGACTTGAATAGTCTGAGCGGTATCAAGGAATTCCTTCACTGGTTTTGTTTAGGACATAAAAATGGCATGTTATATATATATTTTTTTTTTAATGATAAATTTTCCATTTTAAATGATTCCATTTTATTTTATTTTATTTATTTATCTTTAGAGGGGAAGGGAAGGAGAGAGGGAGAGAAACATCAATGTATGGTTGCCTTTTGTGCGTCCCCTGCTGGGAACTGGCCTGCAGGGAACCTGCCTGCAACCCCGGTATGTGCCCTGACTGGGATTCAAACCGCGATTGTCTGGTTCGCAGATCTGCGCTCAATCCACTGAGCTACACCAGCCAGGGCCGATGTTATATTTTTAAAATTATCTTTCAGAGGAGATACTGAAATATTTGTGGATGAAACGATGTGATGGCTAGAACTGGCTTGAAAGTAACCCGTGGGTGGGTGGGGGAAGAGGGCAGGGCAGTCCATGACCCCATACATATTGAAGCCCGTGACGGGCCTGGGGCTCATTTTACTGATCTCTCAACTTTTATAACATGCTTGAAATTTTCAACACACAAAACAAAGAGAAAAATTTATAATGTCTTCCTTAGTGTTTTGGTTGCTTTGTTATTAATATCTTGCTGTTGGTTAAGGGATACTTACAATGTCATTATCTAATACTAAGGTCTAATACACTTACTAATGACAGTGGACAAGAATCCACATTATAAATACTTCTCTTGCCAATTCTTCCTTTTTTTGTAAAAATTGTTGGTCATCCTCATGTCAGAGAAGATTAGATGATCGTGTGTACCTTCAATGTGGCTGGCAAGAGCTCACACAAGGAAGAGCTGGCGGCTCTCACATTTTTCCCAGGCATGAAATGCTTATACTGGCCCTGGCTGGTGTGGCTCAGTGGACTGAGAGCCGGCCTGTGAACCAAAGGGTCACTGGTTCCATTCCCAGTCAGGGCACATGCCTGGGCTGCAGGCCAGGTCCCCAGTAGGGGGCATGGGAGAGGCAACCACACATTGATGTTCCTGTCCCTCTTTCTCCCTCCCTTCCCCTCTCTCTAAAAATAAATAAATAAAATCTTTAAAAAATAGAAAATACAATGCTTATCCTGCATTTTTATCCTCATGAATTCATGGTCCCTTTGAAGGACTCTTTTAAGACCCGTGACCTTTTTGTGAGGCTGACTTTTGTTCAGCAGAACTTGAGTGATCCATTCTCCAACCCCCCCAAGAACAGACACGTGACAAGCAGTACGTGAGAATATTCCGAGCCCTAAACAGCAAGGGCAACGCTGCCAAGACCTCGCTGTTGTGGAAGGCCCCCCGATACCTCTCGGATCAGCCAAGATATGCCACCACCTGTCACGCAGGCCTTGCGGGTGCCGTGGTCAATCCATACACTACACACTAGCAAAGCCCCATTACTTTTTAAATAAAAATGCTTTTCCATAGAAGTTCTGCACACCACTGGGAGAAGCTCCAACGACAACTCTTCACACAGGAGGAGGAACCAAGGCTGAGTATGTCCCTGCAATGGTAATTATATCTTGCAGTGGCTTAACAACACTGTGACTAAGTGCCACATCTGAGGCGCATCTGAAGGCTACATGCAATCCAAGCCTCATGGGTTCAAGCCATCCCCCATTTTATTGCAAGGAATTAGCCACCTGGCTCTTCCTGAGCGTCCCCCAGGTGTGTCACAGAGGCTCTTTCCGACAGATGTTCTGCTCCAGCCCCCTGCTGGTGAAAGCGCCTGTCAGGAGCACCCCAGCTTGGGGCTTGGGAAGAAGGCCAATGGCATCCACACCCAGCCCAGCAGAATCTATATTTATACTTTCAGTGAAACTGTTGATGATTTCGTAATTGATATATTAGTTTTCTAGGGCTGCTGTAACAAAACACCACAAACTAAGGGCTTAAAACAATGTAAATGTATTGTCTCACAGTTCCGGAGGCCAGAAGTCCAAAGTCAAGGTGCCAGCAAGGCCAGGCTCCACCCGCAGTCTCTGGAAGAGCATCTTTCCTCGCCCTCTCCAGTGTCTGGTGGCTCCAGGTGTCCTTGGCCTATGGCAGCATCACTTCAGTCTCTGCCCTTGTTGTCATGTAGCTTGCCTCTGATCTTTCCTGTGTCTGTGTGCCTGAGTCCCTTCTTCTTCTGAAGACACCAGTCATATTGGATCAATGCCCAGTCCACTCCAGTATAACTAGTTACCTCTGTAACAACCCTACTTCCAAGTAAGATCCCATTCTGAGCAGGACAATACTTCGACTGTTCGGGGTCATTCCGACCCTGAGTCAAGAACAGTTTACAACCACTGCATAGGCCCTGTCCCGAGAGCTCCTGGCTAAGCCGACTTCCACCCTTGTGCATGCATGGCTTACGTCCACAGGCTTAGGGCAGGCTTACTGCACTTCCCTCTGCTGGGAGCACTGCACACATCTCCATATCTCGGGGTTCAGGCAAGACTGATCCCTGGCTTCGGAGAGAAGAGGATTTTTCTGTCACCCCAGTGTACCTCGGGGACTTGCTAGGATAGCCTCATGCTAGGATACCAAGGGCAGGCTCCTAAGGCCCCACTGAGAAAACCACATCCCACCCATAAGAGCAGGCCCTGTCCCCTCCACTCCAACAAGGCAACAACACAATGACACGACCTTGGCACGTTTCCCCAGCCTGCACCCTTTAATTTGAACAACACCCTCCATGACACATAACAGAGCAGTCTCGTTCCGCTTCTGCCAGGATTAAGAGGAGCCTCGTTCTTTTGCAGTCTTCCTTCATCACTTGCTATAAAAACGAAGTGCCTTCATGTCTGCTTTCATTGAGGGTTGCTCTCTCACATGTAAAAAGGTAAAATAATTTCACAAACGTCCTTTTCCTAAAAACAAGCAGAGCTGTGGTTTTTATTCTTTTCTTCCTTAGTCTAACCCAATGAAACTGCAAATCAGATGTCACTGGACTTGTTAACACTCGCAGAAAGTTACCCTGGCTGGTGTGGCTCAGTGGACTGAGTGCTGGCCTGCGAACCGGCTCGATTCCCAGTCAGGGCACATGCCTGGGTTACATATGGGCAGGGAATATCTCTAGCACATCGATGTTTCTCTCTCTTTCTCCCTCCCCCATCCCTAAACATAAAAAGCTCACAGAAAGTTAACGGTGATCCTGTAATAGTGCACAGTTCACAGATAACTGCCATTAACTGTTTTACTCACCAATGGTGCTTCACTGGCTGATTGACAGGTAAAGCATGAGCTTCTCACTCAAGAGATGATGATACCCTTATGGGGTCCCTCAGTTGGCTGGAGCATTGTCCCCGAACACCTTTGCACCAAAAGGTTGCGGGTTCAATCCCGGTGCAGGTGTATGTACAGAAAGCAACAGATTCCTATTTCTCATATTAATGATTCTCTCTCTCTCTCTCCCCTCCCCCGCCTCATTCTTCTCACTATCTAAGATCAATAAACATGCCGTCAGGTTAGAATTCTGGGAAAAAAGAGAGATGATGGTCATTACTGAACCCATCACGTCCTCTCTCTGGAATCAACATAAAAGGATTCTCTGCCTGAACAGCAGCGTTCTAACTCAACCAGGTATCTTGATGGGATATCCGACCCCATCTGATATCATTCCTGAGGTATCATACTCAGGAATCCGACCCCGTCACTCAGCTTCCAGGGTTCTTTCTCTGTATTCACTGGGAAAATTCGGTCAATTCGGCCTCTTGACCGCTTGGCCAGTCAATACTGTCCAACAGCCCGAGGACAACAAAGGCACTCTCCTTTTTCAGCAACCACGAAGAGCAGAATGCCTCCCATGATGGAAGTCTCCCTGGCTGGAAATCTCCCAGTTCGCCTCCTCGCTTCTCGGGCCTTCCTTTCCCATGACCAAGGCCCCCCAGGCCAGCGTCCCTTCCTGCCTTAGATATTGGTGCCACCCTAACAGCTCTTCACCGGCACCAAGAAAAAGGGGTTGTCGGTGCGTCTTCTGTGGGAAAGAGCGATTTCTGGAAAGGTCAGCCCGCACCGGAGCTCCAGCCCAGCAGACTAAAATCCCGGATTCTGAAGTGGTCTCGGGTAACAACGGCTAGTGTTTAAGTTTCTGTACAAGAGTTAGCCACGCCTAGTGTTGAAAAGTAAAGGTGTGTTGACCGTTAAGGTGTGCAGGGGTCCACGTGTCCCAGAGTTGGGAGCAGAACTGATGAGGCGCACAATTTTTTAATGAAATACAAAACATTTTGAACTAACACATACTCCATGCTTCCCATGGTTCTTCACTGCAGATGGCGTTTAATCACCAGCTATACCCTCAAATCCAGACTTACTAATGCCATTACAGCAAAGGGATTAAAAATGGAAAACCCAGGAAACCAAAACGCCGCCGGGTAACCACGCGCGTCGCCTCCGGAGCCTACTAAGGGCCCACGGGGAGCCAGTCCACCCACCTCTCCGCACTTCGCCAATGAGCGCGCCTTCCGCAGCTCGCCCCGCCCCTCACCCTGCTCTCACCAATCACTGAGAAGTTAGCTTCTCCCAGCCCTACCCGCAGCAACCCTAGCCCAGCGACACCCCAAGCTTTCAAACCTTGCTGGCGCACAACCTCGCGGTTGCATCCGGATTTTATTTTTAGCGTTGGGACGAGCAGCATACTCTTAGGCTCCGCCTCATCGCCGCCCCCAATGGAAGACAGAGTGGATTATGCGTCATCGCGCGGGCGGGCATGAGTTGTCCAATCACCGCTCTGGGAGAACTGGCGTAATTAAAAAGCGGCGGAAGGCGGTGGGTGGGTCATGACACAGCGACTTTTAGTCGTGACTTTTCCGGAAGCTTCTCGGCGTCCCCTCTTTTCCCCTTTAAAAGTAAAACGTCTTCTGACGCACTCCCGTGCGTCTCGGGGGCGGGAGCGGCCGCCGCGACGGGGAAGCCGGCGCTGACGCGGGCCGCGAGAGAGAGGGAGGGGCCGGCGGCAGCGGGCGGTCACGTGGGTGTGTTTGGGGGTGGGGCCGCGCGGCGGTTCCGGGCGGTTGGGCGCGCGAGCGAGGAGCCGAGGCAGCCGCGCCCGCCCGCCCCGCCCCTGGATGCCGCTCTGCCCCGGCGCGGCCGCCGAACGTAGCACAGGAGGCGCCGCCGCCGCCGCGGTTGATGTGGTTGGCCTGGGGCTGAGGAGGCCGCCAAGATGCCGCAGTCCAAGTCCCGGAAGATCGCGATACTGGGCTACCGGTCTGTGGGTGAGTGACGGACGCCGCGCGGCCTCCTATTGCCCGGGCCCAACCTAGCCTGGGCGCGGGACTCGGCGGGCCGGGCCAAGTTTGGGGCCGGCGCGGCCATGTGGCGGCCGCGCGTTTCGTAACCAGCCGCCCGCCGCCGCCACCTCCATTTTGAGCGGAGGCGGCGGCGAGGCCGGGCCCCGCGGGGCGTCCCGGGCACGGGAGGAGGAGGCCGGGAAGGCCGCGGACGCGCGGGGAGTTGGGTTCAGGCGGGGCCCAGGGTGGCGCCGCAGGGGTCTGCTGTCTCGCCGGAACGGCCGCAGGGCACCCGGGGGCGGGGAGGATCGCACCTGTCTCCCCGCTGCTGCGCGGCTCGCTGTCTTCCTCGCTGCTAGGCAGCCTTTCCGCCCCGAATTAAATCAAGTCCGTGGGATTTTAACAAAGGAAACAGCACCAGGCTTTCTTTTTTTAATTTTCCCCTCTCTGTGAACTTCAGCATTTTAAAGGAAATCGGGGAGCAATAGGATGTTTGGCTACTGAGGGCACGTTTCCTCCGAAGAAATCTAAAAAGAGCCCCCGAGATGCTGCCAGGGACCAAAGTAGGAAGGCAGGGAAAAATAAATGTCTGATGTCTCGGTGTCCTATTTTTCTCCGGGAAAAAATAAGGTCAGGTACTTGTAAGCAGGCTGTTAAAGTAACTCAAAAGTTTGTTCTGTATCAGGGTTTTTCCCCCCCAAGAGGTTGACATATTTGAAACTTAGCCTTAGCGTCAGTCGCCTCTTTGCCGACCCGAAGTGATATTTGGTGGGGCGCAGGGTGGACACGGTGCCAAAAAAAAATGTGAGAAAGCACACCGTTGAACTTAAAGCCATGCTTCAGGGTGAAGTGTTGTCTTTCACAACCAGAAGCCTTTCGTCCTGTGTCGTTTTAAAGAAGTAAATGTCTGAGGAAAATGTGCGCCTGACCGCAGTGGAAGGAAGGAGGTGAAAGCGAGGTTGGGGTTCTGGGGGCCGGAGAAGGTAACAGTAACTGCCGTGGGAAGGCTCGTGGCCGCCTGCAGCTCCCTGGAAGACTCCCCGATTCCACTTTCAGTTCTCCTTCCTCCCCCATGCCACCCCCCATTTTCCACCGCCGGTGCCAGGGTCTGCTCTTTGACCAAGATCGGCTGCAGCCTGCTTACTCATCCTTTATCTTCTCTCTCCGTCAGAGGGGTGGGGGTGGGGGGGGGGGGACAGTTTAAGGCGCTTGTGTAGAGATAGGACGTTCCAAGAATCTTGGGAGTAACTCCTGTGGCGCAAGGCCAAAGCGCAGGTACCCGCGGGGAAGGAGAGGTGACAACCCAACGACTGCCTCGGAAAGTGCCTTCAAAAGCCCCTGCACCAAGTGAGGCTTTTGAAGCTACTGGCAGTCCGCTCCCGAATGACCCTGTGGAGCGGGGCAGTCACCCTTGATTGGCAGCCTGAGTTGCCCAGCGCGTGCTTGTCGGCAGCGCTGGGTCCTCCTGTGCATCCTGAAGAGTGAGTGGGGCTGGGACCTGACTGGGCTGCACCTGCGTGCCCTCTCAGTGGGGGTAGAGTGTCTGAGTGACCAGACTACCTGCGACGTGTACGTGGACTGTCTGATTTCCTCTGAAACAGGTGTTCCCAGCCACCTGGCTGACTCCCCCCTTGAAATTCTTGAGATGGGGATTCTCGTCTCCAGTAAGCAAGCCCTGTTTTTTATCACTCTTGTGCTGAAGTTCTGTGCGTTTAATTGAAGTCTTCCTGTTTATCTTCCTGGTAATCGTCCCCCTGCTAAAGGCCCAGATGTGACAGGTCACCCCTCAGCCTTCTCTTCACACTTGGTGTGAACTGCTGTTGGTTAAGCCACTGTCATAAATAGCCTCCATTGGGACACAGTGGGTTTCTAATCCCTGTTTTCTGTGCCCTCGATAGGTCGTTCATTACTCTACCCTACTTCATTTTCTCTGCATTTATTTTCAAGTGTAGTGATGGTGAAGTGAAGGTGGTTTGGAGAGGTTAAATCATTCCCAGTCTTTGCATCCGATTTTTAAGCCAGGACACTTTGTAGTTTGTGGGGTCTTTTGTCTTGCCAGCCTCAGAAAAGGGAGTAATTCCCTGGTCCCATGTGCTAGCCACTCTTGGTGGAGGGACTTCCGGGAGTTCACGGCCGCCGTGTGTTTGCAGATGGTGCTGCTGTGCTAGAGGAATTTGAGTCCGAGTGTTTCTAGCCTGTGCCGTTTGGGGGGGTTAAGCCGCTGTGTCATGCTGACAGGGTAGAGTGGTGGGCAAAGGCACAACTAGAAACCATAGCTTTCTTAGAATGCTCTCTTGGTTAAATATCTCATGCATGACGAGTACTTGTCACACCATGGACTTTATTTTTAAATTTTGCCTCCAGATAAAACTCCCAAATATTAGGATTGTTTTACTACCTGGCTTTCAAATTTTGTATTTTTATAAAAACCATGGATGCAGCTACTGGTAAGGAAAAGACAATTTTCAGGTAATGTGTACAATTCCTTTGTTTCCCTGAAGTACTTTTCCTGTTGTTTACAACGTTAAGCTTTTTAAGGACACGTCACCTATAACGCAGGCTGGCTTTCAGGGAGTGCTTTGTATTAATTGTTTCAGTGATGGCCGAGTGTCCTGGCTCCCTCATACCCATTGTTTCTGACACAGGCGAGTGGTCCCATGGTAGGAGGTGACTCAGCTTGACCAAGCTAAAGCTGTAGTGTTGGGTAACTATCTTCCGGTCAAATCTAGCGCACCCTCCACCGGAGTTTTCTCCAGAGGCCTGGACACTCCAGTTTCCCCTTAGTGCACAACCGAAGGCTGTTTGCAAGCCTCTGAGGTGAAGGAGACAGGGGAATCACAGGAATTCAAACAGTCACGAGAGAAAATGGAACAACTCTGGTTTGGTAAAAGGCAAAACAGCAAAAGTAACTCCGGTTATTTTATTGCCTTGTTAAATGTTTTAGATAGTAAGGAAGATGCAGCCTTTGATTGGGATACTTCTTAAGGGAAGATATCATTAAATTTGTTCCAGGTAGAATACCGTCCAGTTGTGACCTGATGTACTATTTTTAAATTACCCTTTTCTGACACAGTTCATTGAAAAAAATAAAAGGCAAAACATTGCCATTTATAAAATTTATTAGTATGTGAAATCGTATGGTCAGGTGCTTAATGACATCCTGTAGTAGTTACCTCATGGTGGAGCTTGAAATAATTTCTCTCCCTCTTTTGTATCAGTCATTGTCCGGCACAGGAGAGCAATCAGAGCGTGCGTTCATGGTTGTGACTCTTCAGTGCTGACATTACTTGACTGTCCCGTAGGATCTCTAATCTGTATTTACCCTCATCGCCCCCAAAAGGAGCTGTGCCCTCGAGCAGTCACTCCCTGTGTTCCCGGGCCTTCAGCCTCCTGCATCCATGTGTCCACTTCTGGTTTCTATGAATTTGCCTGTTCCGGGCATTGCGTGTAAATGGAATCATACACGCACAGTCTTTTGTGACTGGCATCTTTCATTTGATTTGAGAATTTTCAAGGTTCATCCAAGCTGTAGCATTTATCAGTAATCCATTCCTTTTTGTTGCCAAATAATGCTCTATTATTTGACTATAACACAGTTTATTTCTGTATTCACCAACTGAAGGACATGCGGGTAGTTTCTGCATTTTGGCTATTACGCATGATGCTGTTACGAACATTCCGGTATAAATTTGTGTACAGGAATTGCTGGGGCATGTGGTAACTCTACGTTTAACATCTCAAGGAACTGTCGAATTGTTTTCCAAAGCACCTGCACCATTTTACACTCCATCCACCATCAAAATTGCTTTCAGTTTCTCCACATCCTCACCAACACTTGTTATTGTCTCTTCTTTTTCTTTAAGATTTTATTTACTTATTTTTAGAGAGCAGCGAAGAGAAGGAGAAAAAGAAAGAGAGAAACATCAGTGTGTGGTTGCCTCTCGAGTGCCCCAAACTGGGGACCTGGCCCACAGCCCAGGCATGTGCCCTTACTGGGAATCGAACCAGTGACCATTTGGTTCATAGGCCTGGGCTCAATCCACTGAGCCACACCAGCCAGGACTATTGTCTGTCTTTTTTATTCTAGTCACCATCCTGGGGGCACAAAGTGGTATCATATACATGATTTGCAAATAATTTCCATTCTGTGGGTGGTTTTTCACTTTCTTGGTGGAAGCTTTTTCCTTCCCTTAAAGCAAGAAGTTTAATTAATTAATTAGTTAATTATTGCTTATTTTTGAGAGAGAGACATCAATTTGTTGTTCCACTTATCTATGCATTCATCGATTGCTTCTTACACGTGCCCTGACCAGAGATCGAACCCACAACCTTGGGATGTATTCCAGTGATGCTCTAACCAACTGAATTACCCCGCCAGGATCAAGAAAGTCTTAATCTTAAATTTTAGCAGAGTCTAAATTTTTTATTTTGTCACTTGTGTTTTTGGTGTCATAACTAGTCATGGCTTTATTCAAGGCCTTGTGGATTGCCTACTGCGTTTTCTTCTAAATGTTTTATACTTTTAGCTTTTACATCTGGTTTTATGATATATTGAGAGTTAATTTTTGTGTATGCAGGGAGATGGGTCCAAAACGTGATTCTTTTGCATGTGGCTATTAAGTTGTCCCAACCCTGTCTGTTAAAAGACTGCTTTTCCCCTCAGTGAGTTGTCTTGATGTCACTGTCAGAAACTGAGTGACCAGCAGTGTGAGGGCTCATTTCTGGACTCTCCTCCTATGATCTGTACGTCTGTCCATATGCTAGTATCACACGGTCCAGTATCACTGTCTTGCTGTGGTTTGTAGCAAGTTTCACAAAATAGGAAAGTGTGAGTCCTCTAACTTCATTGTCTTTCAAGACTGTTGTGGCTCCTCTGAGTCCCTAGCATTTCCATGAGTTAAAATTCCTAAAAGATGAGCTTATCAATGTCTGCATAAAAGCAGCTGGGATTTTGATAGGGTGTTTTACAGTTTTGCAAGTATCTT